TCCATAGAAGACCTACAGATGGCCAATACACATATGAAAAAAAGTACAACATTACTAATCAGTGGGGAGATGCAAACCAAAGTCACAAGGAGATTATCACTTTATACTTGTCAGAATGGCTAGTATCAAAAAGACAAGAAATAAGTGTTGATGATGATGTGGAGAAAAAGGAATCATCGTACACTGTTGGTGGGTATGTAAACTGGCACAGGCACTGTAAACATAGTATGGAGGCTTCTCGAAAAATTAAAAATAGAAATACCATAGGATCCAGTAATTCCATTGCTGGGTATTTACCCAAGAAAATAAGAACACTAATTTAAAAAGATACATGCACCTGAATTTATAGTCAAACTATAGAAACGATCCAGGTATCCATAGACAGGTGAATGGAGAGAGGAGATGTGATTATGCGCGCGCGCGCGCATGGAGCCTGCTTCCCCCTCTCTCTCTGCCTGCCTCTCTGCCTACTTGTGATCTCTGTCTGTCAAATAAATAAATAAATAAATAAATCTTAAAAAAAAAAAAAAGTCCAGGACCAAATGGCTTCACAGGTGAAGTGCTACCAAACATTTAAAGAAGAATTCATTCCTATTCTTATCAAACTATTCAAAAAAATAGAACAGGAAGGAAAACTTCCAAATCCATTTCACAAGGCCAGCTTTACCCTGATTCCAAAACCAGACAAAGACAACACTAAAAAAAGAGAACTACAGGCCAGTATCCCTGACGACCACAGATGCAGAAATCCTCAACACTTATTACCAAACCAAATTCAATAGTGTGTTAAAAGGACCATTCACCATGATCAAGTGGGATTTATTCCTGGGATTCAAGGGTGGTTCAATATTCTTAAATCAATGTGACATATCACATTAAGAAGAAGTATAAAAATCATATGATCTAAAGAGCTCTAGAAAAAGAATCTGATACAGTACCTTTGTTTGTGATAAAACTGTCAGTAAAGTGGATTTAGAAGAACCATGCTTCAACATGATAAAGGCTTCCATGAAAAACCCACAGCTAACATCCTTCTCAATGGGGAAAAACTGAGAGCCTTTCCCCTAAGGTCAGACACAAGACAAGGATGTCTGCTCTCACCACTTTTATTCAACAGAGTACTGGAAGTCCTAGCTGCTGCTATTAGACAAGAAAAAAAAAAGGCATCCAAACTGGTAAGAAAGAAGGAAAATGGTCACTCTTTGCAGACGACATGATACTATATATAGAAAACCCTAAAGACTACCGAAGAAGCTATTAGAATAAAGGAATTCAATAAAGTGGCAGGATACAAAATTAATATGTAGAAATCTGTGGCAATTCTATTTGTTCATAATGACATAGCAAAAAGAAAAATTAGGAAAATAATCTCATTTACAATTGTGCCAAGTAGTATAAAGTATCGAGGAATAAATTTAACCAAGGACGTGAAAAACCTATACTCTGAAAACCGTAAGATATTGATGAAAAAAACTGAACATGACACAAATGAAAAGAATTTCTGTGCTCATGGATTTGAAGGATTAATGTTGTGAAAACGTCCGTATTACCCAAAGCAATCTACAGATTAATGCAATTCCTATCAAAATATCAATGGCATTTTTCACAGAACTAGAACAAACAATACTAAAATTTGTACGGAATCACAAAAGACCCCAAATATCCAAAGAAATCTTGGGAAAGGAGGACAAAACTGGAGATATCACAACCCCAGAATTCAAGATACACTACAAAGCTACAGTAATTAAAATGTATGGTACTGGCACCAAAACAGACACATAGATCAATGGAATGGAATAGAAAGCCCAGAAATAAACCCTCACTTAGTCAATTAATCTATGACAAAAGAGTCATAATATACAATGAGAAAAAGAGTGTTTTCAAGAAATGTTGCTGGGAAAACTGGACAGCAACATGCTGAAGAATGAAACTGGTCCATTTTCTTAAACCAAACACAAAAATAAAATAGATTAAAGACCTGAATGTGAGACCTGGAACCATAAAAATTCTAGAAGAAAATATAGGTAGAAGAAAAATAGGACATTGGCTTTAGCAACATATTTACGGATAGGTCTCCTGAGGCAAAGGAAACAAAAGAAAAATAAACTACTGGAACTATGCCAAAATAATAAGATTTTGCACAGGAAAAAAAAAAAACAAAAGAACACAACAGAACAACAAAGTAACTTACTGAATGGAAGAAGGTATTTTCAAATGATACATCCAATAAAAGTTTAATATCCAAACTTTAGAAAGAACTTCTATAACTGCGTGCGCGCGCGCGCACACACACACACACACACACACACACACACACACACACCCCTTAACAATCCCATAAGAAACAGATGACTTGAGGACATTTTTCCATAGAAGACCTACAGATGGCCAATACACATATGAAAAAAAGTACAACATTACTAATCAGTGGGGAGATGCAAACCAAAGTCACAAGGAGATTATCACTTTATACTTGTCAGAATGGCTAGTATCAAAAAGACAAGAAATAAGTGTTGATGATGATGTGGAGAAAAAGGAATCATCGTACACTGTTGGTGGGTATGTAAACTGGCACAGGCACTGTAAACATAGTATGGAGGCTTCTCGAAAAATTAAAAATAGAAATACCATAGGATCCAGTAATTCCATTGCTGGGTATTTACCCAAGAAAATAAGAACACTAATTTAAAAAGATACATGCACCTGAATTTATAGTCAAACTATAGAAACGATCCAGGTATCCATAGACAGGTGAATGGAGAGAGGAGATGTGATTATGCGCGCGCGCGCGCATACACACACACACACACACACACACACACACACACACACACACACACACAAGGACTATTACTCGGGTATAAAAAGAATAAAATCTTGCCATTGGTGACAACATGGATGGACCTGGAGGTTATTATGCTAAATGAAGTAAGTCCAAGAAAGACAAATACCGTATGAATTCACGTGCATGTGGAATCTAAGAAATACATGAACAGACAGACTTTTAAATACAGAGAAGAAAAACTGCTGGTTACCAGAGGGAAGGTGGAGGGTAGGGAGGGATCAGCAAAATAGACGAAGGGAGTTAAGGTACAAGCTTCCAGTTACAAGTCATGGAAACAAAAAGTACAGCCCGGGAGACACCATGAGTAACATTGTGATAACACAAGGTGACAGGTGGCGACCACACTTCTCAGTGGTGAGCACGCGGCAATGTGCAGAAGTGTGGGGTTACTGTGTTGTACATATGTAATATAGCAGTATCTGTCAACTACACTTGAAGACTAAATAAGGATAGGAAAAAGGTATCAGGGCAATAATGACCACCAATATGAGGTGAGCTTGCTTCTGATAGTTCTTATAAATTAATATGCTGATTTTCTCAGCTTTATGCATTATTCTCTTTGTAGAAGTCAAAGGCTTCAAAGAGCAGTCAACTCTGGATATATTAACAAAAGATAATTCCAGAACCAACAAAATTCAGACCCCAGTGAGTCTGGAAGTCCCCGAAGAGCAGGTGTGAATGGGGAGAAAGAGACACTACAAGTCCCACATACAGAGACACAAACTACGTCATAAAAAGGGATCGGTTGTATCATAAGAGGTGAGGCAGTGCGACCCTCAGAAACTGAAGGTGGAGTGTAAGCACTCAGGGCACGGAGTCATTTCCAATGACGACATCAGTATCTGCGTTAGGACCGACACGGAGGGGAAGGATAGGTGTCCAGCTCACACATTTCAAATTAAGTTAATGATACAAGTGTATCTCTACGAGAAAATTGCTCTGCACGCACTCACGACTGACTGTTCACATGATGAATTCAGCAGGTTCTTGCTTCTTCCCTCATCCCTAGCTACCCTCCACCAGGGTCAATGAAGTTAATCAAACACTATTCAGTTGCCAAGTAAAAAAGCTGAAACAGGGCGCCTGGGTGGCTCAGTGGGTTGAGCCGCTGCCTTCGGCTCAGGTCATGATCTCAGGGCCCTGGGATCGAGCCCCGCATCGGGCTCTCTGCTCAGCAGGGAGCCTGCTTCCTCCTCTCTCTCTACCTGCCTCTCTGCCTGCTTGTGATCTCTCTCTGTCAAATAAATAAATAAAATCTTAAAAAAAAAAAAAGCTGAAACAAACGTCTAAAAGTGGTTTGAGAATATGACAGATTTCAGATATCTTGCCATCCTGCTTCCCATACTGAATTACAGATACTTACTGGTAATAATTTGATTCAATTCTGATGTCACCAGGGAATATTAATCTCTATTATCAAATGTTAAGTATTAAGAATCATCTTTGCACAAAGCATTATTTAGCCTAGAACCAGAGTGTATAGCGTCAGAACAGAACCAATTTGAGGATAAGTACAGGAGAGCCATTGGATAGTCTTACCAAGAATAGAGTGGGAGGAGACACAGACCAGCATCTCAAAGCGGACTTCTGAATAAACATTCCCTGCTCCTTGTGCTGATGCAATTTTTATAGGATTGCAGTCAAGAGGTGAAAAATAATTTATCTCAGGCGTGACCTCTCTTTGTAAAAGCAAAAAGATGTACCATTTTTAAAAAGTTCTCTCTCAATTCTTCAAATCTTGATTCATCATTAAAATATCCCAGTGATACTATTTAAGTTATATATAATATATATAATTGCATATAAGTTACACATGTTATACATATAAAAATAAATATATAATAGTATTAAAATATCTTAATTATATAACATATAGTATGTATGTTCAAGTATAAACTGTATATATGTTATATAATACAAACATATATAATGTATATTCAAGTACATGTATTATATGTATATATATAATATATATATTTGTATGTTCAAGTAGTACAGGAGGGGACATACACCTTTTATAATCCTAAAGATCAATGTTTTATGAAGAAAAAAACTGACTCCTAAAATTGCCTAAATATCTGTTAGGACCTTTATTTTGGCACCAATGGAAGAGAGTTAATGCACAAGGAATGAGGAAAAAAATTAAACTTCATACCTCTTTGTAGTTAACTCTCCCATCCTGAAGGTGGAGAAACTCCAGAGCTCTGTGTCCTGAGAGAAATAAGTAAATCAATTAAATTCAACTGTAGCTGAGACAGAACTTATTCAAGATATTTTAAAAGAAAATGGGGGTGTATGGGTGGAGCAGTCTGTTGTGTATTACACTCTTGGTTTCGTCTCAGGTTGTGGGATCGAGCCTCGAGCAGGCTCCATGTTCAGCATGGAGTCTGCTTAAGACTCTCCCTCCCCCTCTGCCCCTCATCTCTCTCCCTCTGTCTTAAAAAAATAAAATAAGGGCCGCCCGGGTGGCCCAGTCAGTTAAGTGTCTGCCTTCAGCTCTGGTCATGATCCCGGGGTCCTGGGATCGAGCCCCACACTGGGTTCCCTGCTCAGCACAGAGTCTGCTTCTCCCTCTGCCTCTGCTTCTCCCCCAGCTCGTGCTCTAATAAATCAATAAAAATCTTTAAAAAAAAAATAAAGTAAAAGGAAAATAATTTTGTTACTCTATCAAGGAAGGGGGAAACGAAAATTAAGTGTGTACTCACTAGTCACTTTCATTAGGCATGGTAAGATTCAGATGATATTTATATTGCTAAAACACGAATCAAGTTTGCATGGCGATTTGAAGCTTCTGCTTATCTGGCACCACCGCCCTGCTAAAGCCAGGGCTCAGTTCCCTCCCGGGTAAAAGTAAGTAAATAAGGTGTGCTGAGAGGGTCACCCAAAATACATGTGATGTGATGAGCACAGTGGCTGATACACGGTAGGAGCTCGGTAAACAGCCTGTGTCTTCATTTTATTTTGCCTCAACAACCCACTGAGATAAATGACCCTCAGCAGGAAATAGGACACACGGCCAAAACCATGGACGAGTCAATTACTCTCAAATGTTTTATCATCAGTTGGGCCACAGTAGATGGACCCCCCCCCCAAAAAAAAAATCCCAGGTCACCTGCTCCACCCACACACCAACACACAGACACACACACCCTGAATCTTCCTAGAATCTCTAAGACAAACATGCCTTCTGAAGGCACATTCAAAGGGGACACCTTACTCCTGTTGTGAATCACATCCAGCTTTGTAAGTCATACAAAAATAGAGCCACTCCTCTAAGCCTAACACTAGAAGCCACAGACTCCCAGCCCACACCAGTAACCTGCACACAGAACTGGGGGGATTTCCAGCTGCAAACCACCGCACGAGGCCTATTCCAACTAACTCACAGAACCGTTGGCCTCCCGACAGGCTTTACATAAGGAGTGAAAATGTGAACCAAGATATTTACAAAATCCTCTAAATAACTAGCAGATGTTGGAGTTTTGTCTCTCACATATGACTCCTCAAAATCTGTGGTTAGGAATGGTCTTCAATTATGTTCACATAAACAAAGTTTTATATTAATATATTTAATATATTAATATATTAATATTTATATATTCATATCATATATAGAATAGGTAATTAAAAGTATATACTTAATTTTATATTTAATAGATATAAACATTCATATATTTGCTATATACTTATTTTTATTAAATATTAATGTTTACATTTTAATATATTCAATGTATATTGAATGGTAATGTGTTATAGTCAATGGTTAATGTGTTGATATATATTCATAATATATAGACTGGTAATATGTTTGCATTTAATAAATCTTATAAACATGTTTAATAGATATTTATATATAATGTACTACCATGTTTAATATTGTATTAATAGATTAATATATATGAAACATATATCCAGCATAATCTATTAGGATCTTTGGCACCTACTGAAAAAAGGCAAGCAGTTATATGATTTCATTAAGATTTCATATTTCATCTGTGTTTAAATTCTCAAGATTGGGGCACCTGGGTGGCTCAGAGGCTTAGCCTCTGCCTTCGGCTTGGGTTGGCCTTGGGGTCCTGGGATCAAGCCCCGCATCGGGCTCTCTGCTCAGCGGGGAGCCTGCTTCCTCCTCTCTCTGCCTGCCTCTCTGCCTACTTGTCATCTGTCAAGTAAATAAATAAAATCTTATTTAAAAATTCAAAAAAAAAATTCCAAAGATTAAAAGCTTTCCATTTATACTTATTCTTGAATATTTTCATTTATACTTCTTCTCAGCCCACTTTTAATTTTAGCAATTTCAATCTCAAAGAACAAAAACAACAAAACGACAAAACTTTCAAAATCACAGAGATGTTCGGCTGCTTTACAGAAGAGGAACACAGAAAATGAACCGCTCTGAGTCACGTACTTAGTGTACAGCAGAGCTGGTATTAGAAGCTGGGTCTAATTCTCCTTTCTATTGTTTCCTGACTACCTCTTAGCAATAAATGTGTTTGGAAAGAGCACTGGCCTGACTCTCGGGAGCTGCAATCCTAGGCCAGCCCTCTAACGAGTGAGCTGGGAGACTCTCCAGATCGATTTCCTTGTACATGAAGTACAGGGACCGGGCTCCGTGACCTCTCCTGCCCTTTCAGGAGGCAAAATTCTGGGATCACAGGTTCTTGTCCACCAGAACTCAATGAATACCTTGGTCTATTTGGTACTGGGAAGTTTCACACCTTATTTGTAATCTTGTTCTGACTGGTACCTTCTGGCCAGGGGGCCTAACTATAAAATATTCTTGTTTTTATCTAAAAGAAAACCCAGACATCAGATATAGTTGAAATCAATCTGAAACTGTTATAGAATATAAATGTTTCTCATGGCATTACAAATTGGCTTACATTTTCCATGAGTTAAAAAAAAATTACAAATAGGGGTGCCTGGGTGGCCCAGTCAGTTAAGTGTCTGCCTTCGGCTCAGGTCATGATGCCAGGGTCCTGGGATCGAGCCCCACATCGGGCTCCCTGCTCAGGGGGATCCTGCTTCTCCTTCTCTTACTCCCCTTGCTTGTGTTTCCCCCTCAGTGTGTCTCTGTCAAATAAATAAAATCTTTTAAAATATATACATATATTACAGGGGCGCCTGTGTGGTTGAGTGGGTTAAAGCCTCTGCCTTCAGCTCAGGCCATAATCCCAGGGTCCATCGGGCTCTCTGCTCAACGGGGAGCCTGCTTCCCGCCCACCCCCCCACCCCCACTTGCTGCTCTGCATACTTGTGATCTCTATCAAATAAATAAATAAAATATTTAAAAAACTATATATATATATATAAAAAACTATATATATATATAAAATACACTTCAAGAACCAAATCCACCATGTGCCTGTATCTGCTACTCGGCCTCCAGCCCCGAACCTGTCCTCCCCAGCTCCTGTCATCATCCCGGGCCCCTCTAATGCCAGTGGTCAGACTCCCTCGCTTCTTTGCCCTCCCTGGAGCCAAAAACTTGACTCAGGGGACCCACTCCCGTGACCACAAGTGGCCTTGTATGCATACTTGGAAATATAAAACAACAAAAACACATTCCTTAGTCCTACCGAGTTCCACCCATCTTCCTCCTCTCCCATGCTATGGTCCTGCTGCACGGCGGCCTCGAGTTCCTCCAGCTCCTCCTGTTTGCCCACCTGGAGGAACAGCCTGGGACCGGATCATCAACCAGGCATTGTTCTGGAGCCTCCTGCCCGCCCCTACACGGAACCCACCCGCCTCCAGTCCCGGCTCACTGCAGTCCTGGAAACTCATTACCAATACATGGGACAGACTCCACATCTCTTCCTGAACGCCCTCTGACAGACTTAGCATCCCTCATCCCATGGCCAGGTGCAGGCACTTACCTATCTCGATGTGCGTGGAGATGCCGCACGAGCCTGCCGGGCAGAGGGAGCCCAGCGCAATCAGCAGGCCAAGCCAGAACCTGCGAACAGACATGCCCTCGTTACTCGCCGCTCCTTGGTGACACAAAGTGCTCAGAGCTGTGGCAACTGGCCTGAAACCCGGGCCCAGATCCACTGTTTTCCCTCTAAGCAGGTCACTGACACGGAAAACCAAGCCTCATTTCAAAATAATAACACTTCCCAGTCAACTGTTTAACTACTGTTTAACTTCACCAGAACAGCAAACAAACTCCACCTGGGAGAGGGGAAAAAGCTATCAGCCAAACTGTGAATGTCCTGAGCAGGGGGCATGGCTACTTTCTGACCCGGGAGTCCTCCAGATTTCTTGTTAACATGAAATGAGTATGGTCACCCTAGCAAACTTGTCTGTAAGCGTTCTTTGCTTTCTTCAAAAAAGAAAAAGAGAGAGACAGAGAGACTCACCTGCCTAGACGGAGGGTCCGCATGCTGGGCCACCTCAGCTCAGAGGGCAGATCCCTCGGACATCTTTCACACACGTGGATCAGGGGGACCAGCGTCCCTGGCCTCCGAAGCCACAGTGGCTGGGAGAGCTTTTATGACGATCAGCTGGCGCTGGCTTCTCGTTCAGGATTTGGCAACAGATACCGACACCTGCACGGGATTACACAAGAGCAAGCCTTCTGGTCTCTCGCTTCTGGCTGTTCTTACGGACCTTATCTCAAGCTTGCTGCACGCTCAGATTCCTGCTCCCCAAGCAAAGACGATGATTCCGTGGCAGGGCGGGAGGCGTGGGACAGATTTAAGACCAAGAAACAAGGATTCAGAAAATGCTAGTCTCAGAATATAACCGTCAAGAAGTATCTGGTCTGCAGCACTTAACCCATGGGAAAAATTCGGAGAAGCTCTTCATGAAATGATGGTGATCTTACAGCTCAAATTATATGTATTATATGTGAAAGGCAAGAAAGGAGATCCTGAAAGAGTGGGAGGAAACCGTACTCATGCTCAGGTGAGCAAATGGAAGAGAAGAATAGGAGAAGATAGGATGATTTGGGACCCTTAGGTGTCTGCCAAGTTTGTTCTGTAACCTTAGCTTGGCCACCTGCAAGCCCCAAAGAAAAGAAGCCCGTGGCTCTCTCCCAATCCGGAGGGCACTAGGTCCAACTGCTCCTGACTGCTTTTAGGCCAGAGGCCATGAACTTTGGCTAACAGGGTGTTTTATATACAGAGGTCTAATCTCCCCCTTATGGCAAGTGGAGGAGCAGATGGAGAAGGGTGGGAGTAGAGGTGGAGGTGCCCAGGTCAAGACTGGGTGAAGAAGAAAGGTCCCAAAAGCCAATGGTCTTGTCCTCATAGGCCCCACTGAACCATCACACCCAGCCAGGCTCTGGGAGGCATCGGAGCCTTGGAGCAAGACAGAAGCAGGGGGTTGTTCCCACTCGGAAAGGGGCTCACAGAGGGCACAAGGCCGTCAGAGAGAAGGGGAGGCCAATGTCATGACTTTCCTAGGACTTAGGCACTTTTGATTTTGTGGTCCCCTTCCTGAAAATAAGTCAGAGTTTACATCTCTGTTGGCCTAAAAGTTCTTTTTTTTCCCCCTGATTTTTAAAAGAAATGCAACAGTTTTGTGTGCCTCCAGAAGTACTATGGGCCTTAAGCAGTGTGCGTTTTTTGAGAAGTCAGCTGGAAAAGGGACTGGACCCAGTTTGAAACAGAACCTTAAGAAGATAAGCAGACTGGTTTTGGATCCAGAGAGGCGGCTACAGTTGTCGCAACAGCAGGGCGCCCTCTGCAGGCAGCAGGTGGAAAGACGCCAGGTTACCCATCCTCAGTGATAACCCACCTGGCAGCATCCTCCCCTCCAGGAGGTCCTCTCTCCCCCAATTCCTTCACTAGAATACAGAAGGAAATAGCCAACACACACACACACACACACACACACACACACACACACAGAGATTAAACTCCACTGTTCCCACTTCGGCTAGATGTGAGACTGAGTGACGCCGGCTCAGCAAAAAAAAACAAAACAAAGTCAAAACTTAAAGTTACTGCCTCTACATTTTGCAAATAAGAACTCAACGTCCCAGAGAAAGTGGAAGAGCCCACAGGCTCCGGAAAAGAGACTCGATGCAGCAGGAGAAGAAGAGATATGCTGAGACTATTGATCCTAAATCAATGCATAGAAATGAGATGGACCCCAACCTACAGATGCCAAAGACAGCCCTGCTAAATACGGACCTGTGTCCTCATTAAAGCTGTGACTCCCTTCCTGCTTCCAGATTCTTAGGCGCATGTCTACTTGTAGGTATACCTCGGCTGACTCAATTCTGACAAATGGTCCCATTGACTAGTTGGAGGCCTAACTTCACTAGTGGCTTGTTCCAGGGCAGCTACTAGAACTTTGAACGATGTGAACTTAATGTAGCAACTCTGCTAAGCAATTAATTATAGATTATCTCACAGTAAAACAGAGAACTTTCTACAAGAAAAAGAACTGAAGTTAAGTAATTTGTCTAAGGTCACACAGAGCTTGTGAACAACAGATTCTGAGTTTGGAGCCAAGCCGGTCTCTCTCCGGAAGCTCTGTGGCACATCAGGGGGATCCCTGCTCCCAATAAATGGAGAAAATATGTAAACACACTCCCAGAAAAACACCCAGCCCTCAGAACACTGAGCCACGCTTGGCCAGGGCAGAGAACCCTCAGCCCAGATCCCAAGTGCGCGGGAGCTCCGGCGATGAAGAGCGGGGATCATGCCCTTAGCAGCTGGGGCAGACGCCACCAGCGCATCCACAGACCCAGGACAAATTCCAGCGGCAGGGCATACAAGTTTGGGGTGGGGGGCGGGGGTCGTGGGGGAAGGAGCTGTTGGCTTGCAGCAGATAGGGAGCTGGGGAATAATTACAAATGAGCACTCGAGGCTGGTAGGGTGAGGGGGTGAGGCCCGCAGGTGCATCTCCGGGGGAGCCTTCCCAGGTCTGCCGGAGAGCGAGGCGGCGCGCCACCGAGGACCAGGTGCGGCGTCAAGGACGCGGGAGAGGGCGCTGCTCCGCGTCCCCTACGCCGCCTCCAGTCCGCGTCCCCGCGTCTCCGGCGCGTCCCCGCCGCCGCCTCGCTCCTCCCGCCGCCCCGACCCTTGCACTCGGGCGCGCGCTCGCTTGCCTGCTTCCTGCCGGCGCCTGCGGGGCCATGGCGACCTGGCTGCGGTTGCGGAGCTGCCGGGCCCCGCGCCTCCCGCCGGCGCCTGCAGGCCTCGGCCTGCGCCCCCGCGGCTCGGTGCCCGCCGCGCCCGCGCTCGCCTCGGCGCAGCCCGGCCGCTCCGCCGGGGGCCTGGCGGGCCTGTCCGCGGCGCTGCTGCGCACCGACGGCTTCGTGGGCGGCCGCTGGCTCCCGGCCGCCGCCGCCTTCCCCGTGCACGACCCTGCCAGCGGCGCCGAGCTGGGCTTGGTGGCGGACTGCGGGGTGCCCGAGACCCGCGCCGCGGTGCGCGCCGCCTACGAGGCCTTCTGCAGCTGGAGGGGCGTCTCGGCCAAGGTGAGCGCGCACGGGGCCCCCGGGTTGCCCCATAGAGAAACCAGCTGTGTCGGCTCCCCCTCCCCGATCCACCGGGATTCATCAGGCAGAAAGTCATAGGAACAGGACAGAGGTGATCCAAAAGTAAGTCTGGAGCGTCGGTTTTGTCACAAGCACTATGCCAGGGGGTAGGGACAGGCGCCGCCCTCCAGCCTCTGAAATGTCCAGTAGCGGGGGCAGAAGCTGTGTGCTTAACATGAAATTACCAGCGAGCGGGGGCTCTGGTGAGCAGGGAGAGGGGCCTGACGGTGGAGGGCAACTGGGCGCACACCCAGATAGACTAGCAGCCAGGGAGAGCTAACACAGGAAGGCTCGTGGAGAAATCGGGCTTTGTGCAGGCAGACGACCATTCTCCAGGTTTCGGCCTGAATAGCGCGAGTGCGGTTAACATCTGCTTGGCTTGTGGACGGCCGTCTGTGCACGACCTTGCCTCAGCACCTTCCCATGTCCTAACCTCTTCTGGTAAAGACACCAGTCATACTGGATTAAGACCCACATCTCTGACCACATTTAACCATAATAACCTCTTCCAAGACCCTGTTTGGAGGTTAGGACTTCAACCTGTGAATGGAGGGTGGGGCACGATTCTGCCCACACATCAGGGCGGCCTCCTTGAAGACAGCAGCTGCAGAGATTAAAGAAGGGGCGGGAATTCGGCTGAGTCAGAAGCATGCCTGACCCACTTGTAGAACAGCATGGAGTCCACGGCAGTTCTGAAGGCCGTAGTAACAAGGGGAGGCAGGGCTGGGTCCAGTGGGGTGTGTAGCCGTCTTAAGGACTGGGGTTTTACCTTGAGGGAGGTGGGGCACCACTCCAGGGTTTGGAGCAGAGCTGTGATCAGGTTTGCAATGGAAAGGGTACTGTGGGCCCCAGCATAGAGAACAGGCTGAAGGAGGGGCATGGTTGGGCAGAGGCCCGGTAGGGGGCTGCTGGCAGTGACCGAGGTGAGAGAGGAGGGCGGCTTGAACCAGGGCGCTCTGCAAGAGGATCTGCTGGGACTGGAGAGTCAGCTGGAGGCCCTGGTGATGTTGGGATGAGAGAAAGAGGGCTTCGGGCCAGAGCAATGGGAAGGAGGACCCACCGGCTGAGATGGGGGAGGGGAGGAGAACCTGGTGGTGGGACAGGTGTGGGGAAGCTCTTCTGGCCCAGTCTCGGCTTCAGTGGTTGTTCGGGGCACCAGGGCTAGTGCCGGGACCGCTCACGGACGCTGTCCGCTTGTGGTCACATCACCCACCTGACATCCACGCCTCTGGAACGTGAATGTGGCGTCAGCCTGTCCTGGGGAGGCTTGAGTCTTCTCAGGGAACCTTCCTCCTGGGAAGGACCTCGGAGTGTCTTGCTGAGGAGTGGGAGGGGCCTCAGCATTCCGGAGTGAGGCGGGTCCACCTATGCGGCAGGGAAAGGTGGGCTCTGCTGGAGCCCGAACCCTCCCCTCTTGCCCCCAGAGGCCTGTCTCCACCCTGCCCGCTGCTGGTTTGTGTTCCCCCTCCGGCCCCCTCCTCCAGGTCTAGCCCTAGGGTTGCGTCTGCCATTGCAGGGTCAGAGCACGCACCCTGCCGCTGTCCCTGCTTCCCGGAGCTGCAGTGTGGGTCCGCCGCCCTCCGGGGACATGGTTTTCATTGCCTCACGTCTTTCTTTTTGCCTGTTTTAGGACCTCGTTTCCCACCCTGTGAACTCCTAGGGGATCTCGGGGGAAAGCAGCAGCCAGACACTTACCGCTCTGTGCCCTCAGCCGTTCCTTACGTTTCGCCCTGTAACAAATTAACACCAGTTTAGTGGCTTCCGACAACACAGATTTATTCTCATACTGTCCTGGGGGTCGGAAGTCCCAAATGTGTTGGCAGGGCTGTGTTCCTTCTGGAATCGCTAGGGGCTTCCTTTCCTTCCCGGCGTCCCGCTCCGTCCAGCCTCTGCTCCTGGGAGCACGCGCCTTGTCTGATGCAGACCCTCGTGCCTCTCTCTTAAACGAGCCTCCTGATTCCACTGGGCACACCTGGGTGATTCCAGAAGCCCTCTTCGCCCCCAGATCCTTCAGTGATCGCATCTGCTGAGTCCCCTCTCTGATGGGAGGGAGCAGATGCACAGGTTCCAGGGATTAGGACGAGGCCGGCTCTGAGGGCCGCCAGGTGCCCTCCACGGCCGAGTGCTGCTCTCGGTGCTTTCCAGGCGCTTTATCTAGTACTTTCAGTGGCTCTCGGAGGCAGACTTGAGCCAGGGTACAGATGAGGAGCACAACTGAGAGGCTCCGAGTCCACCGTCCACCACGCACCCCTGCTCAGGTGGGCCCCGAGCCCCAGACCCCGAGTGCCACCCTGTTGGAGACCCAGGTACTCTCACAGCTCCTCACAGAGACTGTAGTAGCTTTCCTGGGGTGTCATCACAAAACACCCCAGACCTGACGGTTTCAACAGCAGTAACATACTCGGTTCTGCAGGATCGAGATCCCAAGTCGAGGGCTGGATCGGCCCCGACCTCTGTCCTTGACTTGTAGGTGACTGTCTTTTCCCTGTGACACCCCCACTATCATCTTCCCCCTGTGCATTCCTGTTTCTGTGTCCAAAGTCGCCTTTTTACAAGGACCCCCTCCTTTTATATGTTGGAGTAGGGCACACCCTAATTTTAGATTAATAAAACTTTAAAAAAATTTTTAACTTTAAATTTATTAAAAGTTGAACTTCACGGTAACTCGCTTGCCTTGGTCACATCTGGAAAGACCCTGTCTGTCGCCGTCTGAGGTACTGAGGGCTGGAACAGTGACAGATCTGTTTGGGACAAATACTGTTAACCCACGACACAGGCTGTGCATCCTGAGCAGGGCCCGTTGGCCTCCCTGATTTCCGGAGTTCGGCCTGGACATCGTGTTTCCCGTCAGGAAGCCGAATCTGCTTTGCATGCCTGCTGTTCTCCCACTGTTCCGTGTTCTCCCTCCTCTCCCAGGCGAAGGGTGGGCTCTGTGTGGAGCAGGCCCTGGGCTCAGATCTTTGCTTTCTTGCTCCAGGCCAGGCCCCCTAGAGCTCAGCCTTTTGTCTCTCCCCCAGAGTAAGCACTGGCCTCGCTGCTCGTGCACAGGGCGGGCAAGGACCTAGAGCTTCGTGTGGGGAAGTTATTGTCTGTGCTGTTCCACACGAGCCTTTTTTTTACAGCTTATGACTCAATACACCCCTTCAGATGCAACTTGAAATGGAACCTTCCTTATTGCTTCTCAAAGAAAAGTCTGCATACCTGTAACTAACATGTCATAAACTTCTGCCCCAACTTAAAAAAGCAGAAGACAGGTCAGTGTGTGTCTCCCCGAGCCTGAGGCCACACACGCCAACCGTCTGAGGACACAGAAGGTTATTTAGTAGTTCTGTTGCTCTTTTTCTTTCCTCCCCAGGAGAGGAGTTCTTTACTTCGGAAATGGTACGACTTAATGATACAAAATAAGGATGACCTTGCCAAGATAATTACAGCCGAAAGTGTAAGTTCAGGGCCCTAACTTGCTCCCCTAAGAAACTGTCCCAGGATGCTCAGGCTCGAGCAGGGGCAAGCCCGCCGCTAAAGAAAATGGGAATTCATGGCCTGATGATGCCATATCAACTAACTCTTGTGCCAGGCCTCACATCTGCCCAACAGTTTGGATGTTCTACCCGAATGTTCTATTCGAGAAACATGCATGGAGCAAGAGCCCATTCCACTAAGTGAAATCAGTCATTCTGAGGAAGACAGATACCGTAGGATTTCACTCTTACGGGGGATTTAAGAAACAAAAAAGAAAGAAAAAAAGAGAGAATGACTCTTACAAACAGAGAACAGGCTGGTGGTTGCCAGTGGGAATAGTAATGATACTAAACTGAAGAAATAGATTTTGAGTGGAACTGTGTGAATAATGCTTTCCCACCATTCCAGATTTTTTTCTCTGTGATTGGCGTGCTTGACTTTTTTCACACGCCATGTTTGTACGTTTAAGAATGTGCCAGAAGTTTGTCCATAGCTGTAATCGTGGCTTTCCAGCAGGGTCCCAACACTGAGGAGATGTCAGAAGGAGAAACAAGTGGGACATCCGGGATGCAGACAGCTTGTGGTCTGGCTTTCTGCCTGCACCTGTCCTGCTTTTCCAGGCTCCTGCTGGGGTCACACATTTCTCAACAGCCCCGGGGTTTTGTTTTTTTTGTTTTTATGATTTTTTTAAAAGATTTTATTTATTTGAGAGAGATCACAAGTAGGCAGAAGCAGGCAGAGAGAGAGGGGGAAGCAGGCTCCCCACTGAGCAGAGAGCCCGATGTGGGACTTGATCCCAGGAGATTGGGATCATGACCTGAACCAAAGGCAGAGGCCTTAACCCACTGAGCCACCCAGGCGCCCCAGCCCCAGGGTTTTGTAAGGAGAGAGTGTCTGCTCTGTGCACAGCCTGACAGAGTTCCGCCTTTGTCCTGAGAAGGCAGCCAATGTGTCCTTTTCTGATTCAGGGGAAGCCACTGAAGGAGGCGCAGGGGGAAGTTGTCTATTCTGCCCTTTTCCTGGAGTGGTTTTCAGAGGAAGCCCGCCGCATCTACGGAGACGTCATCTACACCCCCACAAGAGACCGGCGGGCCCTGGTCCTCAAGCAGCCACTCGGGGTGGCCGCAGTCATCACCCCGGTATGAGGACGGGCAGACAGGTGGGGTCCCGGGATAGGAGATGGAGTGGGACTGGGACAACGCCTTCTTCCTTGTTAGGAGGTGTGCTGCCCTGTTAGCTGCGTCACCTGTCCCGGTTCCCGGTTCCTTTGCTGTCCCCCGGTCCTCTGGGATACCCAGCTGTGGGTGCGGTGCGTGGGAATGCCAGCCGGGTCACACCTGCAGAGGTGGGAAGACCCACAGCAGGACCCAGGCCTGTTCGGACCAGGTGTAAAGGCTGCTTCGAGGTCATGCCTGGCACGTCAAAAAAGATATATTTTTTTTAAGACTGAAGCTATGACACATTTAATGGGCCATTTTATGCTTAATCGATGATTGTCATCAACAGTAGGGTGTCATCGGTGTGCTGGCCCGGGTTCTGCAGGTAGTAAGTTTTCCAGATACAGCACCATGTGTCCCCAGCTGGAGCCGTGGCACGCTGGGGACACCCTGCTCTTTCCTGGTGGCCAGCCTCATGTGGCCACTGTCCACGACGTCCCACGTCCACTCCTCTTGGGTGCTGGCGGGTCTCAGGGCTGCCGTCCTGGCCCAGCAGAGGTGCAGACGGACACCCCCTGAGCCTCGCCTGACTCAGTGTGACTCAGAGCCCCCCGTGCACGAACTGTGTGACCTGGGGCAAGGGAATTGGCGGCTCTCGGTTCCCCTGAAATAATGTTCTCGTTATTCCCCAGTTTAATAAGGGCCTCAGTGGGTTGGGATGAGGATTTCATTAATGATGATTTAAAAGGGCTTCCTAGCACAGCATGAGCACAAGACAAGGATTTGTCAAAATTTTTTAAAATGCTGTTCGTGTAGATATGGGGATATCTACAAATACCTATCCATAAATAGAGAGAAGGAAGTCGTCAATCATCTGCCATTTTCAAAATTACCTTGGCTAATATAATCCAGCCTGATGCATTGGATTAAATGATGTTGTGAATAAAGTTTTACTGGGACCCAGCCGGGCCCATTCCTGTACTTACTGGGGCCGCCTGCACACTGGAGCCACGGACTCCTTGGGACAGAAACTGTACAGCCCACAGAGCCTAAATATTTACCATCTGGCCTTTTACTGAGAAAGTCTGCCAACTCCCAGTATGGATGGGCTTGCACTGTTTCAGATTCTGGGGAGGTGTCCTTTCTTTATGAGCTCGTGGCTCCAGAGGTGACCGGTGTCAGGGGTTCTGAGCGCTCACCTGGGCAAGAGCGGGAGCACCGCTTTGAGAGCCTGTTTGTGCAGTGGAATTGGTTGACTGACTCCTTGACCTGCCTTGTTTTGAACTACAGGGCAGTCCACCCGGTCTCATACTTTCTCTGTTCTTCTGACCCCAGTGGAATTTCCCCAGTGCCATGATCACCCGGAAGGTGGGGGCCGCCCTGGCAGCCGGCTGCACCGTGGTGGTAAAACCCGCCGAGCACACGCCCTTCTCCGCCCTGGCCCTGGCCGAGGTGAGCCTCTCCCCCAGGTTTGCGCACAGCTGGCCAAGTCTGAGCGGGGTCATTTATCCAGGCCGGAAAGAAGCTGACTCGAAGCCTCCTTTGGCTGTATCTCATGCTGGATGTGCTGTGTGCTTTAATTTAGCAGCAGTCATTTTAAGTCTGATATTTTAAGTCTTTAAGTAGGCTCCACACCCAGTGCAGAGCCCAGTGCAGGACTTGAACTCACGACCGTGAGATCAAGAGCAGATGCTCAACTGACCGAGCTCCCTAGATGCCCCCAAGTCAGATGTTTTAGAAAAAAACAATGGATAGGGGATTCCCTGACATAGAGCCAATGTATATTTTAGGCCGCCCTAAAAACATCATCTGTCCATCACTTTCATTAAGTCAGCAGGAGGATGACTAAAATGTGGGCATTTCTCACATTTACGGAACCTCTTCTTTTTTTTTTTTTTTTTTTTTTTAAGAGAGAGGGAGAGAGAGCAAGCACAGGCAGACAGAATGGCAGGCAGAGACAGAGGGAGAAGCAGGCTCCCCGCCAAGCAAGGAGCCTGATGTGGGACTCGATCCCAGGACGCTGGGATCATGACCTGAGCCGAAGGCAGCTGCTTAACCAACTGAGCCACCAGGCGTCCCTTACAGAACCTCTTCTTAACCTCTCCCTCTTCCAGTTCAATCGGCATTCAGTCAGGTCTCGCCATTCTTGTTTAAAACCCTCCCATGGCTTCTCTTGTCCCTCAGAGTGAAACCCGGACTTCCTACCTTGGCTTCCGAGGCCCTGTAAGATTCCCCCCCCCCACCCCCAGCCCTAGTCCCCCTCTGCCCTCGCCCTGCCTGTTACTCCAATGTCCCAGACCCGTCAGCTGCAGCCAGTCGGGCCCCTGCCACTCCTCAGACCGCAGCAGGGTCACCCCGACTCAGCTCTACACCTGCCTTTTCTTCTTCCAGAAAGTTCTTCCCCAAATGCCACCTTTCCAGGGAGGCTCTGCTTGGAAAATCACAGCCTCGGACTCCTGTGCTCCCGATCCCTTCTCTGCTTTGTTCTTCCCGCTGCGCTCCGTGCACCTGACATGCCGCTGTCTCCCTCACTGGCATGCAGGGCCCACAGAGAGCTGTATCTGTTGGGTTCACTGCTGAATGCCAGCGCCTCTATGGTGCCTAGGCCCAGGGGGCCCCCAGGGAAGGTTCGTGGCAAGGAGGGCTTCCGTGAGAGCCATGCTCAGTGTGGGGTCAGTTTCTGGCCTCATCACCTCCATCCTTCCTGGGCCGGGACCTCCTCCTCATTTGGGTCCTTGTGCCCCTGTCTTTGGCCCTGTGGTCAGCTGGAGAAGCTTCCAGAAGGCAGAGGCATTTGCCGCGTTTGCTGTTCTGGGCTGTCAGAGACTGGATGCAGCTCCAGACCCAGTGACTAGAAGCTCCTGTCCTTCAGGGCGCTTCCCCCAACGGCACCTTATTTCAGAGGCAAACTGGACATTTTATTCCTATGGAAACATTAACCGCATGGAAGGCTTCTTTTAGATGAGCCGTTACAGTTTTCCTTGAAATAATTCTAAAATCTGTGCGACATGTGTAAAGGAACTTATCACTAGACTCCTGAGGCGTACACAGAAACAGAGTGAGTGGTGCGCTTCCTACAAATTCTAGTGTCCGGAGTCGGTCTGTGACCAGCAGACCCTCCTGCTTATGAGGTTGATCTGGAAACACACATCTGTGTTGCTCGGAAAGGTGCAGGACCACGTTTTTAAAAACCTCCGAGCCTCATCCAGACTTTGTCAGACTTTGGTTTGGTCTCCTTGTGTCCTTTCATCAGGAGGCACAGCCAGTTGTCCCTGTTGTCATGACACTGGCAGGGCTGCTGGTCCATGCTGCTCATTTTTAAGTAATCTTTATACCCAACGTGGGGCTCAAACTCACAACCCAGGGATCAGGAGGTGAGCTTCTCTGAGCTACCCAAGCACCGCTGCTTGTCACTTCTTCTTTTTTTTTTTTAAGATTTTATTTATTCATTTGACAGACAGAGATCACAGGTAGGCAGAGAGGCAGGCAGAGAGAGAGGAGGAAGCAGGCTCCCTGCTGAGCAGAGAGTCCGATGCGGGCCCGATCCCAGGACGCTGAGATCATGACCTGAGCTGAAGGCAGAGGCTTTAACCCACTGAGCCACCCAGGCGCCCCTGCTTGTCACTTCTGAAATTAGTTTTTCCTCGTATTTCTAATATCTCCTGCGTTCCCTTACCTCATTTCCAGAATTTCTCTAATTCTGATTCATGTTGTTCTTTTGTATCTTGGCACATTTTTTCCCTTCATAGTAAGTTACCACTTTGATCTGTTTTGTGGGCATGTCTTCCTGGAATGCTTTTGTCCACGAGGATGCTTTCTGCTCTTTCTTCTCTTATTTTCCTCTATTAATAATGTCGTATGGGATTTGATTTGGGTATTTTTCTGAGCATTTACTTCATTCTTTTTTTAACGATTTTATTTATTTGAGAGAGAAAGCGCACACGAGAGAGCGAGAGCACGAGACGGGAGAAGGTCAGAGGGAGAAGCAGGCTTCCTACTGAGCAGGGAGCCTGATGTGGGACTCAATCCCGGGACTCCAGGATCATGACCTGAGCTGAAGGCAGTTGGTTAACCAAGTCAGCCACCCAGGCGCCCTGCTTCATTTTTGTACTTAGTTTTCCAAAGCTTTTGGCAGGAGGCCCATTCCCTAACTTCATGAGTGTCTTGTTTCCTTGCTCTGAGATTTCCTGGCGCATTCCCTTCCCTGCTTGAACGGAGCCTGCCCAACCCACCACGTTCCAGCACTCCTCCCTGCGGCCCTGCTCTTCCTCTATCACAGGGTTCCCTGCGCTCCTCTCTGCGCCCCTGCACTCCTCCCTGTGGCCCTGCTCCCCCTCTGTCACAGTTCCCCGTGCTGTTGCTCACCCACCCCCCCCCCCCCCCCCCCCCCCCCCCCCCCCCCCCCCCCCCCCCCCCCCCCCTCCCCCCCCCCCCCACCCCCCGCCTTCCTCCCTGCAGAGTCCCTGCCGCACCTGCTCTTGGGCTGGGCAGTCCGTGGGCCGTTCTGGCCGGTCTGCCCCGGTTCCAGGGCGGTTCTCTGGCACCCGTCAGAAGGCTTCCTCTACAGCTTCTCCTGCAGGTGCTGTTGCTCCCAGCTGTCACCAGCATGTCCACACCCCCTGGTCAGGCAAAAAAAGCCAGTTGCCAAACCCCCGTTTTCCGAAACTTCAGAGGAAGGGCTGCCTGGCTCCTCATCTTAGCGGCGTGGCCAGCAGAGTATGTGCCCCACACAGGCATTTAAGTGGATGCCCAGGCGGTCAGACCTGAAGTCGGCCTGCGCTGCAGTAAAACACAACTGTCCTGGGCCCCCATCACATCCTGTCTTGGAAATGTTGTCTCTGATGCTTTGGTTTGGCCCCGTAATTGCCCTATTTTTACAAGATGAAATTACTCTGCAACACTCTGCTATTCCGTCTTCCCAGAATCCCCAGATTTGCACAGTGAGCATTTTAATGAGATTCGGAAGCTATCTTAATCCCAATATGCCCCGTCCAAAGAGGGCCGCTGTGGAAAGAGCGCAGGTTTCCGGCCCAGGCAGCGGTGGGTCCACATGCTGGCTCCGTTTCTCCCTGGCCTGCGGCATGGGCACGATCCCCCAACAAGGCCTCCAGGTCGTCACCACTGCCCCAGGGGTCCCCTGCGGGACGGCCTGCCCACTTCCCCCCACACAGGCGGTGCTCTGGGCGTGCTCCGCTGCACCCTCTCCCTTTGGTCCTTCTACAAGTGAACCCAAAACTTCTGGAACTCTCTCCAGACTTTTCTCGGGAAAGAAATCCAAGGGTTTTTTTGTTTTGTTTTTTTAACCAAAGTGGCATTAAAAATTTAGTTAATTAAAATAAATTTTTTTAAAAAGTGGCATTGAAATTCATGCTATAAAATATTTAATTGTGTAACAACACATTTAATATCACTTTAGCATGAATAAGGATCTTATTTCAGTTCCAAGTAGTTCTAAATGTATTCTTATTCTGTCCCCAAAGTTAGCTTCGGTTTTTTTTCACTCCACGTTACGTTTTGGATTAAAACATCTATTTCTCTTTTTCTGTTTTTCCAGTTTGATCATTTGCTGCCCCCTGTTTGCTGTTTCTCTTTATAGCTTGCAAACCAGGCTGGAATTCCCCCAGGTGTGTACAATGTCATTCCCTGCTCTAGAAAGAAGGCAAAGGAAGTAGGGGAAGTACTTTGTACTGATCCTCTAGTGTCCAAAATATCCTTTACTGGCTCAACAGCGACTGGAAAGGTACGTGACTTAAGTCAGACTTCATTGACTTCAAACAGACGTCATACTAGTATTTTCTCTCCTATGGCATATGAAAATACTAGTTCATCTTTATCACCCTTCTTAGGGAGATTTGCAGTAGAGAGTTAAGAGGTCTGTGGGATAAAGTAACGTCTGATCACCGTCCGGAGACTTTTTGGATGGTGTCCCTTACTGTGACATGACAGAGGTTCCTCTCTGACGATCCCAAGGCATTGGGGCAGCCACGAGTTCCCATTATTTGTTGCATGTGAAGTGGCTGAAAGCTCTCCCTTGTACCTCCTCAGTTCTGGAATGCATGTTCCTTTCACAATCTAGAATTAAACACACAACTGATGTTGAAATGGACCTCTTAGAAGGGAGCCAAAATTGTATTTAGTATAAACGTACTTACAGAAACAGAAAGGTCTTTGTTTCCTTAAAAAGCTTTATAATTGTGCACTGAGCTGGCAATTCTATTTCTACAAACTATACTGAGAATAATTGCAGCATTATTTTGAATAGCAAGGAATTGGAAACCTAAATTTCCCACAGATGGGGGCTGAATAAATAAATGCGTGGAACAGCCATGCAGTGGAGTTTTATGCAGGCAGCTGAGGGAATGTTCTAGAAACACGTGTGCTACCATGAGCGTTACCCTGCAGGAAGAAGGTATAAGGTGTTATGAACATGTTAAAATGTTCCAGATATGTGGTTGATTGGGAAGATCAAAAGATTACAAAACTGTTTAAATCTACATTCTGTTTTCTTAAAAAAAAAAAAAAATACATCTACATGAAGCTGTGTGTGTGGCCAAATTCTGGATCGATAGACTTTAAACTTCTATCAGTGGTAAGCGAAGGGTGTAGGCTTCTGGATGACTCTGTTATCTTCCCTATATTATGATTATATAATTTTTAATAGGCAGTGTGCTTATGTGGCTCAAGGATCAAGACCGTGTAAACACGCTTAGGTTCAGAAGGCTCACCCCTGCCTCGACTCCCTCCCTTCCGTCTGTAACTACCTTTAGTTTCTTGTAATCTCCCTGCTGTCTCTAGCATGTACAAACGCCTGTTTCTATTTCCTCCTGTTTGTGTGCAAACTAAGTCATCCCACAGACCGTGCTGAGCGCCTAGCCGTTTCCCTGACGGGTCAGAATTTAAACAAAGGCTTAGGCAGGTGGCTGGGTCATCGGATCCGGCTCACCAGGTCTGGGGTCTGCCCGCAGGTGCTGCTGCACCATGCCGCGGGCTCCGTGAAGAGGGTCTCCATGGAGCTGGGTGGCCACGCCCCATTCATCGTCTTCGACAGCGCCAACGTGGACCAGGCTGTAGCAGGGGCCATGGCGTCCAAATTCAGGAACTCTGGACAGGTGAGCCCTGCAGCGTTTTCAGGGTGTGTGTGTGTTTCACAAAGTTTTTACTGTCTAATCACTCCTGGAAGGAAACTTGCAGGTTCCTTCCGTCATTCTTTCTTTGCTCACTTTCAGCAAATATTTAGTGAGGGCCCTCTTTGCCAGCGATGTTCTAGCTCAGAGGGTCCAAAGAGAAATAAGGTGTAGTCCCTGGACAGCAAATGTTTTTTAATCAAATTGTTCTCTTCGTCTTCCTGCTCTTTGAATCTGGTTATTTTTGTAGTTTAACCTCTTTGGGCTTTTCTCTGAATAGGTAAAATCATCCCCTCAGACACAAAACAGCCCAAACAGCTAGGGCCTGAGGCCCACAGTCTTAAGGAAAAGAAGGCAGGAAAATGTTGAGATTGTTCTTGAAAAACTCCAAACGCTCTTGCCTGGGTCTCCCTGTCCCTGAGGTGGAGGTGGCCTGATAGGCACATGGTACAGTATGCCCAGGGGGTGCCCAGGCTGTCATCGGAGAGGAGTGGCTCAAGTTCACGCTTCCATAGGAAATCCTGGCTGAGCACACCGGGCATGACCTTCAAAGTGACCTGATACAGACCTCACATTTCACAGTTGAGGAAATGGAACTCTGGAGAGACTGGTTGACTTGGAAGTCCTAGGTCCTTGGGTCATGGTCACAACTCAGTGGACTAGGGTCCTGTCTCCCAGTTTCTGTCCAAGCTGTTGCCAGGAACCTGACTTCTTACAAAATATTAAGTACTTTCTCTCAGCGGACCATCAATAAGTAGTTTTAAATGCATTCCAGAGACAGAATAAAAACTCCTGAAAGGTTCTATTAGGGGGAAAAAAAGGTAAAATGTTGTATAATACTCTGTATCAGGTAGTTTTCATCCATCTTTTGACTTTGAGTAATTAATTTTTCCCCTTTTATATAACCTTAAATAAGCTTGGTTGTTTCAGAAATACCTGTGTTTCCTTTTAGAAACATAAAATGCTAATGGGTGTAACTTCAGAGTCACACTCCTAAAGCTACAACTTCAAGGTATGTTGCTTGAAGCCAATAAAAATGCGTAGGACACAAAATTATATCTATATGTATCTATTTACCTATAGTTTCTACAAGAAAAATACATGATTAAGAAAAAAGACAAGAAGAATATCTATCAGTGATAACTGCATTTCCTATAATATGGTTATATTTTATAATTTAAAAATATTAGGTCTAGGAGTGCCTGGGGGGCTCATTCGGCTGAGTGACCAGCTCTTGACTTCAGCTCAGGTCATGATCTCAGGATCCTGGGGTGGAGCCCCATGTCAGACTGCACTCAGCAGGGAGTCTGCTTGAGGATTTTTTTCTCTCTCCCTCTTCCTCTCCCCCTGCTCACACATGCACTCTCTCTCTCTCTCTAAAATAAATACATATTTAAATATATATATATATTAGGTTTAATTAGAAAAAAATAAGCAAGAGTATTTTCAATAATTTAGGCTGACATGGATGAATGGTATCGTGTCCATTTTCAAAATGTCGGATTCAGCGAAACCCTGAACAATTTAATAAGCTATTGGATATAAGTCAGCCTTCGACCACCTTCCATCCTGCCCCTGCTCTGTTACTGCTGCATCCCTGTCTCTCATGGAGTTACAGGGTTTTTTTTGTTTTGTTTTTTTGTTTTTTGTTTTTTTTTTAAGATTTTCATTTATTTATTTGACAGATAGAGATCACAGGTAGGCAGCGAGACAGGCAGAGAGAGAGAGAGGAGGAAGCAGGTTCCCTGCTGAGCAGAGAGCCCAATGTGGGGCTCGATCCCAGGACCCTGGGATCATGACCTGAGCCGAAGGCAGAGGCTTTAAAACCCACTGAGCCACCCAGGCGCCCCAGAGTTACAGGGTTTTTAATTCTCTTTTTTTCTTGCCCTCTGTTTCATAGTGGCTTACTTAGGCCGTTGGTAAAAACTTGGTCAGGCGGCTTTCTCTTGTTCGCATAGATATCTGTATTCACTTACTCGTTTAACCACAAGGTGTGGCAGATGTGGAGAAGGCTGGAGAGGAATGCACACTTCCTACGTTTATCTTCGGGGCCCCACCCACATGGGGAGGAATGTGGCGGGTTGGACACAGGACGGGACCCACCTGGGGAAGGGTTCTCACATTCAGAGAGGTAGCAGCAGTCACACTTCTTGGGTTGGGTCAACAGCCTCTGACAAACTGACCTGTGAATTTGGGTTTTTCTGTTTTGTTTTGTTTTTCCCCCCCACATCTAGACTTGTGTTTGCTCAAACCGTTTCTTGGTGCAAAGGGGGATCCATGATTCCTTCGTGAAGAAATTTGCTGAGGCGATCAAAACAAATCTGCATGTGGGCAATGGATTTGAGGAGAGAACTACTCAAGGCCCATTAATTGATGAAAAGGCAGTAGAAAAGGTACGTTCGTTTGATTTTTTTGTTAAAGTAAATTTCATGGTTTCGATATCAAAGGCTTAACTAGCAAAGGACACTTCGGTAAGGTGCCCAGCAAGGCTGTTTTGGCAACAATGGAGAAATCAGGAAAAAGTGAATTTCTGCCCATAAGTATAAATCATGTGGCTTCATCTGCCTCTAAACTTTCCCAGCTCTGGGTTTACACTGAGTGCCCATGAGATCTGTCACTTTAGATCTTCTACTGCCCTCCCTAAATTTTCTGTGATCGTGATGATAATCTTATCCCTCGCTGCCCTAGGAATTAGGATCTTGAAAGACGAAGGTCTTTAATTTTTTGAATACCCAAAAGGAAAGGAAGACTCTTTTTATTTTTGAAGTCATGTATGTTTCAGCTGAAATGCTGGCTTCTGTTGACAAAAAAATACCCTTCCTAAAGAGTCCTTGACAGACGCATCCTGGTAGGGAGATACGGAATAGCAGAAGCTGCGCCCAGGATTTACAGGTGGCAGAAAAGGGAAATTGCTTTCAGGAAGAATCTCTTTGTTCATAGAAAGTCACAGTCTAGACAGACCACTAGCTAAGTGAGACTTTTGTCCTTGCGGTTTTAAAACATAATCTCCTGTTTTTAAAACATTACCCTTTCTAATAAAGAAGATGTGGGGGGCGCCTGGGTGGCTCAGTGGGTTAAAGCCTCTGCCTTCGGCTCAGGTCATGATCCCAGGGTCCTGGAATGGAGCCCCGCATCGGGCTCTCTGCTCAGTGGGGAGCCTGCTTCCCCTTGTCCCTCTACCTGCCTCTCTGCCTACTTGTGATCTCTGTCAAACAAATAAATAAAATCTTTAAAAAAAAATAAAGAGGATGTGGCATATATATACAGTGGAAAATTACTCAGCCATAAAAAGAATGAAATCTTGCATTGGCAGTAACATGGACGGATCTAGAGAGTATGATGTGAGGTACGTCAGTCAGAGAAAGACAAATACCATATGATTTCTCATGTGTGGCATTTAAGAAACAAAGAAAAAAGATACAAACAACAAAAAAATCAGACTCAACTACAGAGAATTACTGGTGGTCTGCGGGGGTGGGAGGGAGGCGGAAGAAAGAGCTGTGGAATAATTGTGTACAATAATTGCTGAATCACTGTCTCGTACACCTGAAACTAACCCAGTGCGTGTTAACTACACTGGAATTGAATACATAAAGGGGAAATAACATAATCCTTTTTAGAGTTGCTTACAAGGAACTTTCTAATAATATGAACATCCAGAACAAAAACAAAACAAAAAATATGAACACCCAGTATATTCCTTAGATAAGTCTCTACTCATGGAAAGGATTTTAGTGGACTCATTGAGCAGATAAGCTGGAGGCTGGACTGTGTGTGAAGAAGGACGGGTGACACAGCCAGCCTTCTGGGTGTCACTCGAGGAGCCAAAATTAAACTAGAGCCAGGTCAGCCCCCAGCTGGGATGCACAGCCTGCCTGGTGTTCGTCGGCCGCCTGAGGACCAAGACCCCCAGGGCTGTCTGGCCTCAGTGGGCAGACAGGCCGGCTGAACCCACGTCTGTTGCCCCAGCCAGTGGGAGCCAAGGGGAGCATCGAGGCTGGACAGAGCCCTGTAGCTGTTGCCCTGGGATTGCCCTAGTAGAGAACATGCATTAGAGTGTCCATGGGCACCACCAGCACTTGAGGGGACTTTGGACCCTGTGACTTGATCAGCTGGTGCCCACGATTTGGGTCTGTATTAGCTGTGGTTCAAAGGCCCAGAGGGCTGGTTCCCAAGCCATTCTGTGCCTTTTGCAGCTCCAGATGCTGGGTCCTACCTGAGGAGACTGGGTGTGTGCAGGGCCTCAGCACTGGTTGTTTTTGTTTTGTTTTTTCTTTTTTAAGTGCCCCAGCTCTTGCTCATTTGCCAGCCCTGGAGACCTCCGTCCTCAAGATTTTGTGGTTGTTGCAGAAGTGAAGGTGCAAACATTGCCCTGTAGAGGGTGCCGTTTCCCAGCACTTCAAGCAAAGACTGCAAAAATTTTTTAGAGGGTTTAGAGAAAACACGTCCTTTGAAAAAAAATCGACTGTGTTGGCTTTAGTATACAAACGGTCACAGGGGAAATTCCAGGGGAAGAAACTGCACATGACATTCTATATGACCAGAAAAGGGCAAAGCATATAGTCTATCTGGGGGCAAAGTGGGGGGCCTTGTTAAATATGTTAAATGTAGTTATTTTTGGAGCTATAAATCATGCGAAGTAAGCCACTATGGCTACTGGGGATTAGCTGCAGACACTGGACTTGGCACCTGTAGGGGCAGGGGCTTAAAGAGGGTGGGTCTGGATGGTAGAATGTGCCCAAGCACCTTCCTGAAGTGCCATAGAATATTCCGCTGAGAATGGAGAAGAGTGGACGGCTCCAGTGGACCAGAGGTTGTGGACTTCTGAAGGCAGAAGAGATGGTGTTAACAGAAGTCAGCGCAGACAAGGCCTATCTAGAACTGGCTGGGTCCTGAGTAGGCAGGGGAGTAGGGGAGCCATAGCGCCAACTGGTTGTACTTTTGCACAGTTTCCGGAGTTGTTCCTATATCACTCGTCCTCGCAAGCACCACCAGTACACACAGGACAGCAGAGGCATTTGCTCTGGGCTGGGCTCCAGCTTCAAGAGTGAGGGTGGGTGTGACAGAGCCGGGCTTCCCTGCCCTTGCCCCTTGGGGAAGGGGGCTGTCCCTGAAGTGAAGCCTCCCAAGTCAGAATAAACCTGAGCTTGCCGTTGGCCCTCTTGTTCAGGGGAGAGAATGGAAACCGCAAAGGCCACCCATGTCACCCACTTAAATTAACCACCAGGCCTTCATGAGGGAGGTGAACATTCCGGAATCATGATGCCTTTAGGGCAAACCCTCAGCGCGTAAGAGGAACAGTTGACCCTCAAGGAAGAGGTGAGTCTGGGAGCAGAAAGGAATTTTCTGAGAACCGAGCAGCGTTCTCCGTGTGGTTTGAGCAGCATCGGTAAAACAAAAGCAGGTTCTGTGAAGATGAGGCAATGAGGGCGAGAAAGTTCCTAGAAATTAAACACATGACAGTCAAATCTTTTTAAAAAATCAGTAGATGAAGATGGAAGACAGAATCAAGAAGAACTCTTAGAATTTAAAGCAAAAGACAAAGAGATGAAAAATATGATAGCAATTTGAAAAGAAGATAATTAATCTGTGGTGAGGGGGATATCCATTTCAGCAACAGGCGCTCCAGAAAGAACCGAGAGGGAAGCAGTAGCAAATAAATAACATGAAAACTCAGAGCCAGGGGAAATCATTCTTCAGAGGGAAAGACTTTACTATTCTACCTAGTGGAATGAAAGGGGAAAAACCCAGCCACGTTCTGCTGAACCACCAGAATGTCAGGAACATAGAAGAAGATCCTAAACGCTTGGGGGGGGGGGGGCAGGTACCCGCCAAGGAGTAAGAACTGTCTTTGAACATGACTTTCATCAGCAACACTAGAAATAGAGGCATGTGCTCAAGAGCTCTGAAGCAGGATGATTTTGGATCACCAATCCATCACTAACCAGTAGCAAGTAGGACATCAGCCATGCCTTGGAAAACTCAGGAAGTAGGCATTTCCAGTGAACCTTTCTCAAAACAGCCACACGAGGAGAATGTATTAGAACAGGATGAAGGCCGAGAGGACAGCATGGTGCCCGAGAACCCAGAGCTGACTCCAGAGTGTGAAGAACAAATCCCAGGAAAACCAGAGTGTCAGGCCCAGAAGGACATCAGGCCATACCAGACCCTCAACGAATTATAGTGGAGAATCTAAGGGCAGAGGAAGGTGGCACAGGGCATGTCGTTCTCAACCTATTTTTTAAGAAAAAAAAAAAAAAAAACCGTTTTCTGCATATTTAACACTCCAAGAGACTATCATCCCCACAGTATCTTCAAGCCAGCTTTCCTAAGCTTCTCTTTTTCTCTTCACACAGGTAGAGACACACGTGAGTGATGCAGTTTCCAAAGGGGCCACCGTTGTGACCGGCGGGAAGCGACACCAGCTTGGAAAAAATTTCTTTGAGCCCACCCTGCTCAGCAACGTCACCGGGGATATGCTGTGCGCCCATGAAGAGACGTTTGGGCCTTTGGCGCCCGTTATCAAGTAAGATCACCCCGCCAGCGGGAAGACTGGAGAGGGTTCGGGCAGAAGAAGGTCCCTGGGAAAGGAACGCAGCTGGAGAGCTGTCTTGAGACCAGGGGTGGGAGGGGGAGCTGCAGAGCAGAGCTCTGTTATGTCAGCTGAAGAGCCAAGAACTATTCATGGTTCTCAGAAAGAACATATATAACATATAACAATATTAACATATATAACGTATATAACATATAACAATATTATTACCTATTTAGATCCCTAAATAGGGATTCTTTCCTTCGCCTTCTTTCTTCTCACTTTGGGCTGAAGTCTGTTTTCTCCTCAGTGGAGCACATACTCAAAGAGTTCTTTCAAGGGAGTCAGTGGTTCTTAGGTGATGTTCTGTCTCACTTCCGGAGGTCGGTAATAGTTCACCTGGATAAGATTCTCGGTTCAGCACTGCGAAGATATCACTACTTATCTACTTATTTCCGGGGTTGTTACCGAGGAAGCTGGTGTCTGTCTGGCTCTTGTTCCTTTTTCTCTTGGAAGCTGCTGGGATTTCTCACGGTCTCTGACATCCTGAAGTCTCACGGGTGAGGCCCATCACGCACGTCTCCGGGCTGCGGTCCTGTCGACTTCCTCTTATATCCGAGCTGTCTATCTAGTCCTGGGAAATCCTTGGTCATCGTTTCTCCAGATACTTCTCTCCCCTCCTTTCATTCTGAAGTGACCTTCTAGGAAGTCTTGTGACGGTGACACATCTGTGTCACCCCCCACTTCTCTTCACACCTGTCTCTTCGTCACACGTCTTCATCCATTCCCAAAGCCTTCTGAGACCCTTGGTACCCTCTGCCTGCAGCTGAGCCCCCCGTTCCTCAGAGGCACGCACGCTGCTACCCTGCCGGCCCACCACAAGCCTTCGGCTACTCTACCGTCCCTCATCTCTCCAGATCGTTCTTCCCCATCGTGGGTTCTTCCCGCTTCATTATTCTCCCTTATGTTGCTGTGGATGCTTATCCGTTTCTTGTATCTTATTCTGTTGCTCTGTTTCCACCTCCTGCGGTGTGGCTTATTCTGTATGTCATCCTCCTTGTCAGAGCTCCGCCGGTGTCTTGTCATTTCCCACGTGGCCTAGTCTGGAGCTCCTGGAACTCTCAGCAGCCCTGACTAGAAGTGTCTGCCTTGGAGTTGTGGTAAAAAGCTTAGACCTTAGTCTGGGCTGCTTCCAATACATTTGAGCCTCAGGAAGGAAGCTTCTAGTATGAAGACCCAGTCTCAGCACAACTGCCCGTGTCCTGGGTATTCCTGGGGTTTGGCTTCCTGGGATATTTTGTTGTTACCTCTGGTGTAAAGAGAGGCGTTCGAGGGAAGAGGCCTCTGGTTCGTGCTGTTTGCACGCGTTTGGGCTGACTCGCCAAGGCGGCTGGGCTCCAGTTCTGCCTGGGCCCCCCACCCTGAGCTGGCCCTGCTGCTTTTCTGCCCGTAGCCATGAACCATTGGTCCAGGGACCCAGGTCTGAAGGCAGCAACACCTGAATTTGCAGACACAGTGGGGAGGTGCAGCCCCTCCCCCCACCCCCACGTGCAGGCTGCCAGCATCCTGGCCCTTCCCACCCCTCCATGGGTAGCCCCCAGCCCTCTCCCACTTGAGGCCATCATTCCTTGAGGATTCCACCACCTTCTCAGCCTCCAGAAGCGTCTTGTTTTGGGTGTTACTTGCTGATTGAGGGTTTTTGAGCAGATTCTTTCTCTCTCCTCCAGCATCCGGTTCTCAGGGAGAGCTGGCCCCTGGCACTCCCCAGGCCGTCTTGTCTGGGGCAGAGGTCTGTCTTATCATACAGTTTCCAGGCTTTGTTACCATCTTGCCAATACAGTTTACATATTAACCCACCAGAAATGGAGCACTGGAAGAACTTTTGTCTTTGTCCTAGTAACAGTTGTTTTACCTAGCATGTGAACTTGACATTTTCAAGGAGCCTAGAGGATGCAGTTGGTGGTGAGGGGTGCAGGCTTTGGAGTTGAACTGGGTGTAGATTCAGGCTTTGCTGCGTCCTACCTGTGCGCTTGGACGGATTGACTTCTCGGAGCCCCAGGGTCCTCTCCTGGGAAAGGAACAGGACTAGTGCTTGCTCTGCAGAAGTTTCAGTTAACGTGGTGTGCATAAGGCACTACGCCCAGTGCCTGCTAGCATTATGGTTGTTGTTATGTAGTTAAAGAGTGAGATCGGGGGAAAAAAAAAAAAAAAGAAAGAGTGAAGTCGGGGAGGGGGACGGTTGTTACTAGTGGGCTCTGGTCTTACCACCCCTCTGCTGTGGGCACAGGGTGGCGGGCGCACAAGTCCAGTGTTGGCAGGAGGTGAAAACCCTCAGAGATGCCACAGTCAGTGCTGTGATGACCGTGTGAGGAAGGGGGCGTAGGAACCTCAGCCGTGACTGACTTTCCGTGCTCCGGCAGGCAGGACGGCTTGTTGTCTGTCTGCAAGTCGACAAGCTCAGGAGATGCGGCTGCTCCGCCTCAGGACAAGTGATCCTCCTGGGGTGCCCCTCCTTGGTCTCTCCCTGGAGCCCTCTTCTCTCCTACCCTTCCTCTTGGGTAGACGCGGGCCCAAGGTGACCCCGCTGCCTCTGCCCGGTGCCTTCAGAGAGATGCCTGGCGTCCACAGCCAGCAGATCCCTGAGTTTAAGAATGGGGGCCTGAGGGCCCTCTGCCCCAGGAGAGTGCTTCTCAGATATTGTTCAAGAAATAAAGTGATAAAACTGGAAGGGACCTCGTAGGGCTTTGGAAAGACCGATCCTCGTTTCAGGCAGGAGCAGGCCCCCAGCGCTGCACGCGCAGAGCCCCGGCCCTCCCCCTCCGGATGCCTTTCCGCTGCATGACGCCTGCTTCTCGGGTGGTTGCTGATTGTTACGTGGCCTCCGCAGGGAGCAGAGCCGTCATGCTTTTGGGAGGCGCAGGGTCAGACGTTCCGGATACACTGTGTCCCGCAGGCCTGCTTGCCTCTCGTTCTCGTGGAAGAGAGGAGCCAGCGCGTGGAACCGTGGGCTGCTTTCCTCTCTCCCCTGCCCTGGGGTCTCTGTGCAGAACTGCCATTCACCCTTTGCCACTATTTGGGAAACCGGTCAGGAGAAAAGATGGCTGGTTTTCCTTACTCTGGCCAACAGATTCTGCTGACCACGTGTTTCCCTCTGGTAGGTTCGACACGGAGGAGGAGGCCGTGGCGATAGCTAACGCGACCGACGTGGGGCTGGCAGGTAGGTGGTCCTCCTCGTGCTGTGCGAGGCTCCCGTTTCTCCAGCTGGTGCCACGTGTGCCTTTCAAACACCACCCTGGGTTTTGAGGAGACGCCCTTGTGGGGTGTGTTCTATTACTTTCCGGGGCACAAAGGGGTTTGTGCAAGTTCACAGTCTGCCACCTGGTCCTTCCGTGTTTGGGAGCTCCCTGGTGAGAGTGGAGGGAGTTCAGGAGGAGAGTGGGGCCGCTCGTGGGGCAGCCCACACCCCACAAGTCCCATGTCCTCTGAGGCTTGATGCCTGCAAATTCCAAGTCTTTTTTCTTCCATTCCACCTGGCTCCGGGCAGCCTGGCCCGGACTGAGGGCAGCAGCAGAGCGTCAGGGATGGTGGAAGAGGCAAGAGGCATGTGTGCAGACAGAGCCTCGGTGGCCGCCATCCTCTTAGTTTGGAGATGGTCAGGGCGGCCGCAGCACTACCCCGTCACCCTGACATCACTAGACGCGCACACTGGCTGGACATCGACGTTCAGTGTCCGCAGTGGGGGGAGTACGGAGCAAGATGCTCCGTGGGGTCCCTTCCCCCATGCTGCAGGGTCCCCCACAGCACCTACAGAGTTGTTCTAGGGCTCGGGTGAGGGGGGTGCGGCAGAGCCTCTGGGACACTGCACTCTGGGCTCCGTCCCTTCATGATAGGACGAGGGGAGCTGCACTAGGTCCTCAGTGATGGGCAGCGTCCTGATGATGCAGAGATGGGAGCAGAGAGGTTCTGGGCAGAGGGGACCATGGGAGTTAAGAAGGAACGAGGAAAGGACAAGGACAGTTTGGTCACAGAGTTCAGAGAGGATGGTTGGCTAATGGCGTGATGGAAGGGAACACTGAAAACGTTGCCCGAGTCCACACTGGGGAGGGTTCAAGTACCCAGAAGACTTTAACCTTATTTTGTAAACAGCAGGGAGTCACTGGAAGGGTAGGGCAAACACAGCACAAGGACAGTCCCACCGGGTGGCAGAGTGTGCGTGAGAGACTGGGCCCCGGACGGCAGGACCTGGGGAGGCTACGGCTGCAGTCCTGCTAGGGGGTGAAGCGATCCCTCATGAGAGTGGGACAGGAGCAGAACCAGATGTCCCCCGGGTCTGAGATGAAGACACGGACAGGACCAGCTTAGGGCCCTGTGGGAGCAGTGGGATTCCAGGCCCGACGAGACACCCTGTCGCCCGTGGCTTCCTTGGCGTTAGATGGGATGTCTTTAATGGCTGTCCTATGTCTGTCCTCTATCCCCATGACAGGTTATTTCTACTCTCAAGACCCGGCCCAGATCTGGAGAGTAGCAGAGCAGCTGGAGGTCGGCATGGTTGGCGTCAACGAAGGACTGATCTCCTCTGTGGAGTGCCCCTTCGGGGGCGTGAAGCAGTCGGGCCTCGGGCGAGAGGGCTCCAAGTATGGCATTGATGAGTATCTGGAACTCAAATACGTGTGTTTTGGGGGCTTGTAGGGTTCACTAGTTCTTTCAAAAATAAAAAAGGAAGCTAGCCTACATATATGGGAACATGCCATCCATTATTTTAAGTTAACTTGTAGGTGACTGGGATTAGGCATTTTTAAAGACTCATCCAGTGCTCATTATCTCAAGCAGAGGTGAATCCCACCCCTCCGCGGACCTGACTCGGGACCCAGGGATGCCCCGTGCCTGTGGCGGCTTTCCCGCCAGGAACCAGCACGGCCCCGGGGTCTGTCACAAAGGCTCCATCACTGCCTGGGCGCCTGGGGGCCCCGCGCTCCTACCGGAGGTCTGCAGGGAAGAGCCCTGGGCACAACGCGCAGGCCGGCCGGGCGGGGCACAGCAGCCCCGGCCACCCGCTGGCTCAGCACTGCAGACCCCGCTGCGCGTTCAGAGGTCTGGACACACGGGCTGAAGTAATCAGACCTCTGGAACAGCCCAAAACTGCCTGTGTTTCTGTGGGCAGTGAAGGAGCACCTTTCCCTTTTCCCGGACCTTTTTTTTTCTCTTAGATTTTTTCTTAGTAGTCTCTACACCCAGCATGGGGCTGGAACTCATGACCCCGAGATGAAGAGTCGCGGGCTGAGACAGCCAGGTACCCCTGGACCATTTTTTAAGTTGAAGGCTTCGTCGTCCTAAATATACTACTTAAAGATCATGTTTTCATTTCCATCCCGCGTTCCATCTCATTTTGTTTCCTTTAGGAAGCGAGCCTAAGCCTAAAGCAGAGCCCTGCCCTGCTTCAGCTAGTGGAAGGGAAGGGAAGGGAAGGGAAGGGAAGGGAAGGGAAGGGAAGGGAAGGGAAGGGAAGGCCCACGCACCAGAAAGGCCTGACCCAGCGGCTCCTCCCCCAACTCCCCGCCCCACCCCGCCCCGCCCCGGTAGCTTTGTTTGCATAGACCTGCCTTTCAGCACCCCTGTTCCTCCTGTGGACTGGAGATTCCGGGTATGCCTTACTTAGCTTAACGGGCAGAAAGTGAAATATCTGCAAAAATAAAATCAGTGTAAGTACAGGGGCCGTTAGTAGTAGTAGCAGCATAGCCCTCCTTGGGCACTGAGCTGCGGCTTTGCCAAGATGGGGAAGGCCGGTGCCCACCCGCTCTTCTACCTGAGACGAGGCGGTTGTCACCTGCAGCCTGCTCTTCCTGTCCTCTCGGGGTGCTGCTCCCTCACCTCCAGGAGGACAAACACAGTCTCCCCACAGCGATCCTGAGAGGAAAACAGATTTCCATAAGGGCCCATCCACCTAGCGGAAGGGATGTGAGGCCTTGAATGGCAGGTACCCTTTATCCAGTAAGAGTTTCTACAGTTCGTTATTTAAAACAAAAATGACCGGTGTTTCCTGTCACTCTGAAAGAAGAACTCTGATTCGGAAAATTCTAGGCTTTTCTGGACACGTCTCCCGTCCGTACTCAGACACTGAGGAATCAAGGCTGTTTGTGGCTGAATAAGCAGTCATGGAACTTTCCTTTCCCACCATGTGTGGAATCCACCGTCATTCCGTGGATATTCTGGGCGTTGGAAGGAGATCCTGAGGGCAGGTGTGCTGGGGAGGGGTGTCCCCTCCCTGCCTCTTGGTAGTTAGCATCGTTCCCTGTACCCCTGGGGAGCCGAGGTTAAGTAACTGTCTGGAATGCCCGTGGGCACAGAGGAACTCGCCTCTGGTCCTGGCGCTCCCTCCTGTTGGCCTGCCTCGCACCAGCCATCTCCCCATTCCCACCAGAGAGACAAGCTGACCTCCGCCTCGGGCCGACGTATCTCAGCCATACCCTGTCCAGAATCACATGTGCAGCATACTGATGGTTTCTTTCTTTTATAGTTTTAGGTGGTTTTCTATAACTTTCTAATTATTTAAGATTTGGATGTATCCATCTGTTTGAATAAAGATGCTGTAACATTATTTGTCAGAAGTCTGGAACACGGACACCAGGAGGTGTTAGGGGAATGCGTTCACCTGCGTGGGTAGCTTGGTAAGCCCGTGGATTCCTTGTCTGGGTGGCAGACTGGAGTTTTCTTGCTTATCTGGCCCCCCGGTTCCATAAATCGAGGTCCAGAGACTCACTGCAATGTCTTTAATTATGTATTTAAAGTGATTTGAGAAGGAACTAGGTTCCTGTTGAGTAAAACTGTTCTGGGTTGTGGGAAGAAAGAAGTGTCTCTAACTGAACATTTCGGAGGGCGGGTATCTTTGAGTAAGGTGACCCCGTGTGGTGAAGTTGGGCAGCGGCTGGCAGACAAGAGCGCGCGCACAAGCCAGACCCAGCCCACCACCTGTTTCTGTGTAGCCCAGAGCTAAGAATGGGTTCGTATTTCCAAATGATTGGGGGCAAAATCAAAAGGACGGTATTTCATATCACAAAATTGTAGGAAATTCCGACTTCAGATTCCATCCATAGAGCTGCGGTGAAACACAGCCACCCCCATTCATTCAACATCAGATCCGCGGCTGGTCTCTCGGCAGAGTTTAGTACCGGCAACACAGACCGACAATACGGCCTGCAAAGCCCACAGTACGGACTCGCCGCTCACGGGAAAAGTTTGCCAACCCGAGGTGTAGTAGAGCTACTGATGCTGAGGGAGATCTGATCTTCCTGCGTTTATCAGGCACTAGTTCATTGAACGCCTGTGTAAAAGGTACTTTTCTGGGCATTGCTCCAGCGAGTTCTCACCAAGAACTTGCCAGCAATGATCCTGTGATCAGATGAAATTACCTGGATAATAGGAGTCTGTTGGCCTCGAGAAAACTATTCCATTCACTTTCCCCAGCTAGGCAGGGATTCGCATTGAAATCGCTTATCTGCACTTACCCCTTTGAGTGGCTTTCAAACACGATTTTATGTCAGGCATTGTTTTCTTTTCTCCTTTATTTTTAGGGAGAGACTGTGAAAATAAGCATCGGAAGCACAATGCAAATAAATCTGCTTTTACTGTTAAACTGTTAGTTTTAGATTGTGCCACAGGCCTGCCTTCTCCAAAGGCTGCAGCCCAGGGTTTTAATCATTCATGTGCAGCTATGTTAGCATTTTACTTGAATAATATTGATGCTGTGATTTTCTGTGTGTGCTTTATTTTGTAGGATAAAACTTGGGAACAAGTGTAGTGGGAAGTATGGGAACATTCTGCTTTTTAAATGTGCCTAGAACTGTTTTCCAGTTTTTGATAATTGTGTACGTGTATCAGTCTCATCAGCAGAGTTGTGCGTGTGTGTGTATAATTAATAAATGTTGCATTAACAGAATTTCCTGTTTCTGTGTTAAGGTTTCTGGTTGTGGTTTCCTCCTTCCCAGTTCATCATTTCTGTTTATACTGGGTACTATTAGCCCAGTTCAGATATGCATGAAGAACAGCAGAATATGCTATCCCAAAGTATGCTGCTTTGGTATAGCAATTACCATGAGCTGAAGATGTCTAAAAGAAACAGATACTAGAAAAGCTCTCTGCCCTCCTCCTACTTTCTTAAAAGCAGGACCTAATTTACACAGGTGCCCCCACCCCTGCAGTAGGAAGGATAAATGTTGATCCCCGGAGACAACTCCAGACCCTGTGGGCCTGGAGAGGCACCAAAGGAATCTACAGGACAGATTTTACCAACTGGCTTTTGTCTCAGCCCTTGAAAGCCGACAAATGCTTTCCTCTGTCCTGTCATTTCTCTGTAAATGTACTGCTCTTTGTTGAGGATGCTACGTAAGCCAGAGTTTCAAGCTGCCTGAGTTCCTCATTCTTTCCCGGGCATCTCCAGGACACCTGAGGCATACATGGTAATAAGCTCCTGTTTTTTTCCTCTAGCTTTTATTTAGCCAAGAACTCAGAAGGGTAGAAGGAAAATTATTCTTCCTCTCCTGCAGGTGTAAATAGTGAATGCCGTGGGCCAGGAGCCTGCATGTGAAATTCTGTACCCTAGCATCTTCACAAAGATCTGTCCCATGGTTTGTGCTCATTAAATGTTTGCTGAATCAGACTGAAAATTTACATGGTTTGTAAGTGTGAGAAAGGAGCGCACTCCAGCTTTCTCAAATTTCTACTCACTCCACTGTTACCCATTATGTACTTTTCCTCAAGTTTGAGTTTTTCTGATAAAGAGAAGTATGAGGAAGAAATTCCCTGAAATCCTACTATTTGGATATAATCACTGTTAGTTATTTTAACAATGTATCCTATATTTTCACTCCGTGCTCATTATTTTTTATTATTAAGCTTTTCACTGGAAGAAAGAACTGTGCCACTGGATACGTGTTTCCCTCTGCCATTCCACTGAGTTCATGCATTTCTTTTCACCTGCTTTGGTTTTTTAAAAAATGAACCTATGGTAAGTATTTTATTTAACTCATTATTGAGGAAGCTGGTAAGGGCATTATAACCAGTTGAAAGGAGAAGCCAAAAACTCCCACAAATTTATATGGGTGAGAAACCTTGAAAGGAATGTCCGAGTGGAAGTACAATAGCTCCTTCCACATTCAGGAAGGAGGCCGGTCAGACTCTCAAGATGCCAGAATCTGCATTTCACACTGCTCTTCTCTACAATGGGATAGGGTCAGAAAATGCATGAAGGGCACTGAATGTGGGAATCAAAGAACCCAGAACCCAGGAAGGCCTGCTCTATATAGATGATGCCTACTGTTCTGCTGAACCTGGTTTTTTTTTTTAAGACTTTATTTATTTGACAGAGATCACAAGTAGGCAGAGAGGCAGGCAGAGAGAGAGGGGAAGGGAAGCAGGCTTCCTGCTGCCTGCTGTTGATTTTTAAAATTACTTGATTACCAGGAGGTTATCCACTTACCTCTCAACTTGAGGGTTCTTTACATACTAGGAATAGGCCTCTGCTTTAAAGCAAGTGTTACTTTCGTCTTCCTATTTCTTCCATTCTCTATCAGTAAGTGTAAATGCTACAGCTTCATTCTTAGTTTAGCCTGCAACAAATTAAAAAGCAAATTAGCATGGTTTTCATTGATGAAGTCTGGGAAACCTCCAGAAAAACAGCAGGTCCTGCTTCATCTAAGGGCACTGAAAGGCTACCAGCATATTCTGTTTTCATGTGGTATGTATAAATGAATGGAAATGTGTTTGGAAATTGGCAGTCTGAAGATTTACTTATCATCCATCCCTTTTTTCAGCTAAGTAGGAAGGACTTGCCACAGTGCAGGCCACAGACAAATCCCCTGTCCTGGTGATGCAGGGGACATGGTTTTTGCAGGTGATGTGTCAGATTAGGCAAGACTGTGTGGTTTCTTCCTGTTGTGCTAAGACCTCGGGCCTGCAACTCTGGGCTCGTCACCTTCAGGACAGAGGTGACAGTACTAAGTAGGCTTGAAATACAAGAAATTTGGCCATTCCCTAAACTCACCTCAAAAAGAGAGACTGCTCCGTTGGAGAAATCCTGGTTGTCGTTGTTGCTGACTTTAATGGAAGAACTTTTAGTACAGCACTGTTGATCACAAAGCTGGCTGTTTCCCCTCAGCATCTTCCAACTTTTGATCTTGAAATAATTACAACCTCATGGGAGGTTGCGGAATCAGTGGATTCCTCTATGCCCTCCACCCCTCTTCCCCCAGTGCTCACCACCATACATAACTCCTACCAGGCAACTGACATCAGTATCATCCTGCTGATACAGGCCAGCATCCGCAGTGCCCTGTACACTCCTTTCTGTGAATGTGTGTGTTACCCAACTTAACCCCATCAGTAGGAAGGTTTATGTCACCAGTGCCACAATCAAGATACTGAACTGTCCCACCAACACCACCAAGGAAATCCCCTGTGCTCTCCCTTTATATGTAGTTGGCTTTGGAAATGAAATCACTCAGCAAGGTTTCTTACTATTGGGTGACGGACATTAAGGAGGGCACTGGATGTAATGAGCACTGGGTGTTATGTACAACTGATGAATCATTACATTCTACCCCTGCAACTAATAATACAGTATAAATTAACTAAATTGAATTTAAATTTAAAATTTTTTAAATTTCACTCACTGTAACATGCATGCCAGAAAGAGTACATAAGTGAATAAGTGATCAACTTATGGAACCTTCACAAGCTGAGGACACCTCGTGACCAGCACTCAGAGCAAGAAACAGAACACTGCCAGCCCCCGCTGGTGCCCCTGCTGGAATGACTAGCGTTGTTTTGTTGGCAAAGATGTATTTATTATGGAGAGAGAAAGAGGGAGCGGACATGCAAGGGGGAGGGACAGAGAGAGACTCTCAAGCAGACTGTGAGCTGAGCACGTTGAGGGAGGTAGGAAGTGGCCAGCTGTGGGCCTGGACACATGGTTCTGCGAAGGGCCAGGACCCGCTCCTCTGACGTCCACAGAAGCAGGAGCGAGGGGCGCGCCTTCCGCCATGGCTTTCTTGGCGCACACCGAAGTCTCACAACAGCCTTATGACTTCTCCAACCATTTGGAAACATGAAAACCGCCACTGGTGCAAGGGCCACACAGGACAGGTCGCAGGCCAGCTGGCCGACTCCCACCAAGGGGAGCCCCGCACAGGAGGCATGAAGTACCCCCCCAGCTCCGAGGTGGCGTTACAGAAATACACTTGATTTAGTCTCCTACGTGCTTTCCTGCCATTAAGACCTGGTCTGACCCGGGAAATAACGTACAGCACAGGGCGGCCTGGACCATCCGGGACCCCCGTCCTCCGGCTGGCGAGCCTCCAGTGCTGCGTGCCTTGCGGGATCTTCCATCACAAACATAGCTGGCCTCTTAGCCCCCGGGTCACATCCTCTTGCACCGACTGTTAGGGTCTCGTGGGCAGCCCTCCCAGGAACAAATGGTCCAAAAGGCCTGCCAGAATTTGCTGTCCACCAGCTGAGGGTGGGAGGTCCTTGTGTAGTCAGGGAGGAGGGTGAAAAGCAGGGGCTTGACAGCTTAAAAAACCTGCATTCAGTTCCCAGACCTAGCACTCTGGCTGTCACCTTGCACAAGGTACTTAACCTCTCTGGGACTCCAGGTCGTTCCCTGCAACATGAGAATAATCGCATCTACTTTCCAAGGTTGACTGGAAGGACCCGATGGGCATCTCTAGTATGTGTATTACGCACATAAACACTGAGCACACGCTCGCTCCCGTCTCATCACTGCACTCCATCCACCTGCTCTTCCGCAGTCCTCGAGGCCAGAAAGTCCTGGTGGCACACAAAACCCCCCACTCTGCTCACAAGGCACCCCAGATACTGAGTTTATGAAGATAAATTCTGGTGTAAAAAACATCACACTTTCCAGATAGCAGACTGAACTGACTAACAATGCGGAAAGAGGAAACCTAAGCAAAGAAATTATGTTTTAAATAAAACAGTCTTACACTTACAGTACGTTCCCCAGAAAGTACAAAACTGCAAGCAAGATGGTCTCACGAGGATAAATACAACCAGAGAGAACAAAAGCACTTGCAAGCTTCATTTTGCTCAGGGACCCACAGGAACTATCTTCTCATTTGTTCCCACCCTGATGGTTTAACATGGGTTGTTTAATCCTCTTGCTTTTCCACTTAATCGTGGTAAAGCCATCCCAGTTTCACAGAAACTTGTACACTAGGATACTCTTCAGGTGTGTTCCCGCCTGAGGCCACAACACGGGTTCAGATCTGTGATGGGCCCCACCTCTATTCTAATCTCTCCAAAGAATGCCAATGGGCCCCTCCCGGGCCACCCATCTTGGCTGGGTAGAGAACCCACCTTAAGGCTGGGTAGAGAACCACCATGAGCCAGCCACCTCCGTAGGCTACGGTTCACCCCAGGTCACTGCTCTGTGGCGTTCTGTGATTGGGGATAGTTTTTTCCCCCCAAACATTCAAATAAGATTTGGTTAAAAAAAAAAAAAGTTTAGTATGTTTTTTAAACATATGAAGTGAATGTCTATGTCAATTTGTTACCACGGAAAGAACCTGTAGGCCAATGATCATGAACATACCAACCTAATTAAGACAGACTGTATTTCTGATTTTGAGACTATGTACAAAGTTGCTGAGTCATTATTCCTATCTAAGGCAATCCAAATGCACGGCCTATGGGCATACTCAATAAATGCTCCATCAGTTAATAATCACTTTTATCATGTCTAATGTACACTGGGGCTAGGAGAGGCTTCAGGGTAGTTTTTTTGTCTAGAAGAAAGTAAAGGCAAAGAATGTTTCCATGCAATCTTCAACTTTAAACCTACAGGTCACTAAGCCCCCACGTCCCTTTCTGTGCCTCTGGTCCTTGTCCTGTGATTCTCACTCAGCTCTCGGATTCCCAGGAGCTGCTGTCCACAGAGGACACAGAAACAGTGGTTGGCCATAGCCAGGAATAAAGGTCCCGGGGGTTTCTGCTCTGTTCGGGTTTCTCGGTCAGCACAGAAAACTTGCTACACAGAAGACAACCCACACCTCCAATAAACTATTGTAACAGACACAGCAGCCTTGGGACTGTGGGGGCCCGACCAGAGAAACCATGTCTGGAAAATCCTCCTTGAAGGCAATCACAGCTCCCAAGAGAAATGAGACTCTCTAAATGTGTTTAATTTATCTAGAGGTCTGCAGATAGACGCAGGTGTCCATCCTTACTTTCACAAAGGTACTATAAACACTGTGCCAGCTACAAAGCACAAACTCTTTTAAGTACATACCTCGTATCTCACCCAAACTGTATCCCTATCAGCAAGCATCTCTGCTAAAAGAGCAACGTTAATGTTTTGTTTCATATCTCAAACGCTCCAAGAAAACAGATCTTTTAAACGCAGGGACACACATCCAGCCCGCTGTGAAAGGACCGTAATGCATGATTCTCACAGGAGTTAGCTCTGTGTGTGAACTCCCATTCACCGGTCCTGGATTCAGGGATTCCTGGGGGTAACCTTTGAGTTTACAGCTGCTTCCTTATCTGTCCTTTGAGCAATAGCTGAAGGGAGCGCCATTTCTGAGGGACCCATTCACGGAAACCTTTGGATTCCCTCTTTCCATCCTCTCTCTGCTGAAGATGGTGTCCTGATCACTGTCAAACTCCGACTCGGACACCATTAGGCTGGAGTTGTGCTCCGTGCTTCGGTGTTTAATACCTGGGGAGAAGCAGACAGATGCATCTTGGGGGAAATGGCCCTTTCACTCCCAGCTGCTCTTCTGGTCGTAGGTCCCATGCACCCAGCTGTGCTCTCTGCACCTTCAAAGCAACACTCACAACACTGCAGGGGTTAGAGGCCCTGGTGAGCAACAACAAGGGCTTTGAGTCAGCCCTGAGCTTGAGCCCAAGCTTTGACACTTACCAGCTAGCTGTGTGGTGCTGGACAAGATGCCTAACCTCTCTGGGCTTTCAGTCTCCAGCACCATCAACACTGAGAGACGGCAGGCACGTACTCCACGGGTTCGGGGTGCGGACTCCGTGAAACAGTGCGAGTGAAGCTGAGGCCCAGCAGTTAGCACTCAGGAGGCGCTCAGTGAGAGCTGTTAGGATTTTATGATTCGGTTCCATCAAAATATTTTGGGTAGAATATGTGATTGCCTGTGGTCAAACTGAGACAGAAGTGGTAAAAGACGTGACCTCTGCTCTCAGAGAATATCTATTATAGTATCTAGCTAAGTGTTTAAGACAAAGGGTTTAAGACAAAGACTCATGAGAAGACAGTTCAAAATAGGCGTAAATGTTGAAAAATCAACCTCACAGGGATCAAGAATGGATAAGCGCACACCGATCGGCCAGCATTGCTTCAAGCCGGGATTTAGACAGAACCCAGGAGGGCGTGAAGTGTGCCGAGTGGCACCAGAAATACTGGGAGAAGCAGGTGGCCCGGCCCTACCTGCCACGGGCCCTCGCTGGCTCGGTCACTCCCGGCCAGTGGCTAAGCTTTCCTATGTCTCAGTTTCCTCTTCTGTGAAATGGGGATCATCACAGTACATGTCTCAGAGCTGCTGGCCGCCCTGGGATTAAATGGGTAATGTGCTTGGAACAGGATGTAGTACGTCTGAAACAGTTACAGTTAATGCTCTCAGATCCTGAGGGTCTGAAGGGGTCATCAGAGTGTTGGGGACAGGGGACAAGAGACTAGGCGAGACGGTGGGTGGAGTGGGAACAAGGCACCAACAATAGGTTTAGAGCCCGGCAGGAAGAAGAATGGGGGTTGGGACATGAGAAGGACAAGGTTACTCTAGGAGGAAGGGGGTGACATAATGCAACCTGAAAGTGTGCTGAGAGGCACCTGGGTGGCTCAGTTGTTAATCATCTGCCTTTGGATTGGGTCATGATTCTGAGGTCCCGGGATGGTTAGTTTCCCAACTAAAATAGTTCATTTATTTCTGTTCAAGTAGGAATATCTGTGTTTATAATGATAAGCCCTGAAGATTTAAATGCTGAATGTGTTGGAAGCTTAGCAGTTGCAAGTTTACACAACAAATGGGGCAACTGGCCAAAGAAAAGAAAGCCCAGAAGATATCGAGGGTAATTTCTGTCATTTGGACCCTTAACGATGTTGGGGAACTTAGCAATGGTAGAAAAAAATATTCAAATAAAAATGATCAACTTCCTTCTTGAATTTCTTTGACTCAGGGTTTTCCTAAAATTTTTGAAACCATAGTTAAACTTGAGGTAGATACTCAACCTTTATTTTATAGTGGAGAATTCTAGAGATAGCTATTTTCCTTAAAGCTTTCCTGTGTGGAAGTTTTGGAAGTTGACTCTACTTCATTAATTTTGTGGGTCTGAGATCACTTTTCTGCAAATGGCAGTAAAGCTGTTTTGCTCTTGTGTCAGAAATCAGTCCCCGCAGATTTGCAAAAGAGCCATTTTACTGCTAAACAGAGGGAGTTTTGCACTGTTTTATGTAAACACAGTTCATGTAAGAAAAATGTGAATTTCCAGTGGTACTGATTAACTAAAGCATTCTATCCAAAAATGCAAACAAAAATAACAAAACACAGATAAAATTAATTCTAATATATACTCTGTTTTTGGCAACTCAGCACTGATGGCAGATGAGGTATCTTTGCATCTATGGTTATAAATTAAAGGCTATATTTGTACTTATTTTTATATTAAAACATTTATTCACCACCTGCTATGCGTGAAGGACAGTGGAACCTGATCACAGTGATGGCCTCGGGGCTTGAGGTTGACACAAGTGTGGTTTTCAGGTTGTACTCACACTATAGCTAAAGAAGGATTACTAGCTAATATTAGAGCAAGTAGTAATTTAGTAATAGGGGTCTCCAGAGGTTAATGAGGCCATCCATGTGCATTTTAGCTGAACCAATGCCTAAATATCCCCGTGGCTGAGCGTTTCCATATCATGAAAGTGTTTTCATAAGGAAGAAGATTCCTCCCCTTCACAGATGGTCTAATGCATGCTGTCAGTACTTCCTTTGTTGTGTTTTTTGTTTTGTTTTTTAGATTTTATTTATTTATGAGAGAGAGAGAGTGTGCACGATCAGGAGGGAGAGGGAGAGAGAAAATCTGAACCAGACTCCAAGCTGAGCCCAGAGCCTGATGTGGGGCTCCATCCCACGACTGTGATATCACGACCTGAGCCAAAACAAGTTGTTGTCGGATGCTTAACCAACCGACTGAGCCACCTGGGCACCCCAGTACTTTGTTTTGACCTAAAGGCTGTGATGAATGAAACCCTTAAGGACCTGTACACACAAACCACTCTTCCTTTCAAAACTGGTGCAAGAAGGGGCGCCTGGGTGGCCTGCTGGTTAAACATCTGCCTTTGGCTTGGGTCATGGTCCCGCAGTCCTAGGATAGAGCCCTGCATTGGACTCCCTGCTCAGCAGGAAGCCGGCTTCTCCCTCTCCCACTCCTGCTGCTTGTATTCCCTCTCTTGGTCTCTCTCTCAGTCAAATAAATAAATAAATCATCTTAAAAAAAAAAAAATTAAGCCCTCTGAGCTCTTAGGTCTAAAGCCGCTGTATAAAGCTGGTGTCCCACGATGTGATGAGAGGCGAGCGCACACATGCACTGATTAGGTGTGTCCTCGTGTCCGTGTCCCTGCCAAAGCCCCTGGCCACACTCCCCGGACGTCAGCCACGCGGACCTCGGTGCTCGGCCAGTCCCGGCCGGGCTGCTGCGGGATCACCCTCTCCAGCCGGGGCTCTGTGCTCCCCCGGGCCTCGCTCGGTGTCCGCGCAGAGGGCAGGCACTCAGCATTTACTACGGACGTTTTGCATCTCACGACTTTGAAAGTGATTATGTCCCTCTGTGAGGATGCAGTTACAAATGCAGGTTATGAAGGGCCCATACGAGCACTAAGCAGCCTCTGACGGCCAGGAAGGAGAGCCAGCAAGCTCGCGGGGTGGCCGGGAGGTGGCTCAGAGCATCGGGGTCTGCGCTTTGTGGCGACAGTGTTGTGTGGAAGCTGGGGTTCACCCACGTCTGGCTAGTCCGCTAAGGGCAAGGCTCCAAGCTGGAGCCTGCTGGTCATCTGGGAGCATCTCTCGGGGAGCAGACCCACAGGGCACAGTGTTCAGAGGCGAGCTGGTGTGGAACGCTGTCACACGCCCCACACCCCAACCACGAGAGAAAAACCTGCTGGAAAAGCAGTCTTTGCCTGCGGGCATTCGATGGGGGCTCAGCGGACGCGAGGCCTCTCCGTCCCTCACCCGGTAAGGCCTCTAAGTGCGTCACCAAAATCTCACAGAATCTGGATACAACTATGCCGCCGTCGCCTCTCCGTGGGCCAGATGTAGGTGCTTCTTCCTGGAAACTCAGACTCACTGTTCTTTCCCCATTAACTTGCCGGCTCCCGCCCGTCGTTCCACCTCCCACCAAGGCAGCACTCAGGGGTGCCGGCACCCAGTCCGCTCAAGGCCCCGGGAAGCATCCCACAGGCCATCTTACCGTGCTTGGGCCTCAGCTCCATTCTCTCCTGCTCGTCCATGCTGTCCAGGATGGTATACTTGGTTTTCTTTCTTATTTTAGTCCTTTTTCGTCTGAAAGGAACAACAAAAAGCTCGACTCAGATTCTTAGGGAACCGGGAGCCAGGAGTTAAAACAGTAGCGGAAACACTCGGCCTTCAGAACGCAGGGCTCGGCACCGGTGGGAACGCTGTGCGCACACGGCCAGGTCTGCGTTCCGGGCACCTGAGGTACCACGCGGGTCCTGAACACACACAGGAGCGGCACGGCCACACCCCTGGTGCCCACCCACCTGTGGGCTCCCGGCTAAGCCCGGGGCTGATGAGTCCAGACCCCCGAGGGCCGTCCTCTCAGCACCTTCGTGCTGGCACAGCGAGCTTTCCCGTGAGTGATTCTTCACTCAGAGAAACCTGGATGCCCACACTGGCCCCCTGAACCTATACTGGCCTAGAAGGTCCAAAGATGCAAAGATGATGGAAACTAGCAACTAGGGGGTAACAAATCAACCGACCAGAAATATAGCAGATTCCTAAAATTAAGTGGCAACAACCCAGGATTTCATTTTCCACAACGCATGAGAACAACTGGGCTGGTCCTTCGTGTGTCATCCCGAGCTTCAGGGGATTATGTGAAAACACACCTCAAAGCCGTGGGGAGGTTACGCTGAGGACAGTTTTCCACAGGCGGGTGACTAAGAACATGGGCCCCTAAGCCTTGACTGAGTGCTCACCAGCTGTGACTGCAGGTTCCCACCGGTAAAATGGGAGTAAAAACAGTCCCCTTTGGTATGGTTGCTGGGAGGACTGAATAGTGTAGAGAGCGCACAGCTGACCGAGAATGGCAGATACTTAATATTACTTACTAATACTTAAAATGGTCACAGTCAAATACTTTCTTCATCATCACGGTCATCTGCTTAATACATATGGCCACAAAACTGCACAATGTGTATTTTTTAAATTTTTCATTTATTTTTATTTTTTGCAGAACTTTGGAAGTGAAGCACAACAGGGTGCCCATGGTCCCAAATGGCTCTAGAAAGCTTCCTGGGATTTAGGCCTCTGAGTGCCTGTGCTCCCCTTCCCCAGCCTTCTGCGATTCACTATTGGGATCACCATAGGGAAAGTAATCACAAATAAAACCAAGAAGATAATATAAGCAGTTTCAAAATATAACTATTAATTACGATCACATCTTTTTTTTTTTTTTTTTTAATCATTATCTTCTTTGGAGAGCATTTAGTGTTTTGTGTTGGATGGTGGTGTTTTGTGTAGGATGTATTCCCGGGACTTGAGAAATCACTGTCTCTACAAATCTCCTCACAGAGGACTGGGCACAGGGTTCTGGAAGATTCAGACCAGGAGGCAGCTCAGAGGCTTCTCGGAGGTCAGCACCCCCCAAAAAGGAAGAAGGAAACACCTAAAGCAAAATTCCTCTTCCATGATCCTACTGCCTGGATTAAAGTTTTGCATTTATTCAATAGGACTGAGAGTCCACTGTTGCATCACACACAAGAAGCAAAATCTAAATTTGCATTGTATGCTTCTAGAACTCCTCCCTCTCCTGAGGGCTGATGGGCTACTCCAGGAGTGTCTCAGTGAACAAAGGTGAGACAAAGAAAACACTAGACCTGATACAGAATCCCTGAGCCTTGCAGGGAAGAGGAAAGCTGCATAAGGAAAAGCGGCCGCTGGGATTATTGCATTTATCCGCCCCACACCCCACGTGGGCCTTGGACTCATGACCCTGAGATCCAGAGTCCCATGCTCCACCAACTGAGTCAGCCAGGCCCCCTTATAAAGGACTCTGAAAGCCTAGTTTGTCTTCATGTAAAAGTGATTGTCAAATGGTTCAGTAGCTTAACAAACCCAAGCAAAGGCTACTACAGCTGTCGAGTCCCATTTCCTGGTGTGTCTTTATCCCAGGGCCATGAAAAAAGGAGCGGCCACGTACCTCCTGCAGTAGAGGCAAAGCCAGGGTACGCCCCCGGTCAGCCCGAGGACAGTGAGAGCCAACGCTGCCACGTAGAACACACTCCACTCTGGAAAACAAGAAAGCCAGAGCAGACACGGTTACACGCTGTTCACAAAACAACTTTATTTCTGTGCTTCACGATGTACATTAGCGAGTTCTTAAGACCAAAGGCCATCTGTGGCCTCACTGGTCCGCTGCAGAGCATAAACAAGGTACAATATAAACAAATCAGGAACAACTTAAAAGTACCCTACTTTTGTCCAACTGGGTCAGGGACCTCCTGGGGTATATTTCATGCTGACTTAAGGACAGAATTGTCAAAACCAAATTAATTAAAATGTATGCTGTGAACACCCATGTATGACACACCAAAATACTAATTCCATAATCACAAAAAGCACAGCTCTCCCCACCAACATAGCTCTGACTCAGTTTTTAAACAGGCAAATAAAATATCTGTCTGGTTGCCTAGGACACGAAGACACTTTTTAGAGCCAGACAGTAATTCAGAAACTACCTGATCTGTATTCCTCCCACATTCTTGTACAAATCCAGTGTAAAAAGCTTTGCAACAGCAATTCCGGACAGAGAAACCAAGGGCCCAAAGACAAAGGATTAACTCCATTAAATACCTGCTCCTTGGAAAAACCATCCAAGGGCTGGCTATTTTCAAATTTCTCAGCCATATACGTCCAACCTGGATCCCCACGGCAACAAAATTACTCTTGGAAATAGACTGGCATTACAATGGATTCCTCCCTAGAGGACACATCAGGGCACCGGCAGGGCCAGCGGAGACAGAGGCTCCAATTGTTGGTGTAGCCCGGGCAGACAACCTGGAGGAGTGGGTCTGATTCTGCTGTTCATCCACGTCCAACAGGCCCACACCAGGAAACACTTCACCAGAAGGCCAAGTGAGCCCAAGCCAAGGCAGGGGCACCCGGACAACGGCCCCAGAGGCACAAAGCAACGCTCTCAGCAAGGCTGGGTACAGTTAGCCAATTGTGCTCTGCCCAGGGGGGTTTCCTTATCAGGAAGTTTTATGGAAGAGCCTAGGTCCACAGGCATGGTAGGTGTGGGGAGGATCTTACCTCACTCCTCCTTGGCTTCAGGTGAGGAGAGCGGAAGGTTTACAGTGGCCGAGTGGGGCAGATATTTCTGGTATTGCAAAAGGCTGTGTCCCCACACGCCTCGGCCATAGCCGCCCCCGCCCCGGACTCACCGCAGTTGCTCTCCCCATCCTGGAGGTAACGCTGAGTCAGGTTCTCCATCCACAGCTGGGAACACACGCAGCGCTTCATGATGGGGTCACAGTGGCCGTGGCCTGAGCACCGCAGAAGGCAGCCTGCAAGAGGTGGGCGCGGCTGAGGCCAGCGCAGCGGCGGGTGGAAGCGGGGCCTGACTTCCGCCCACTGTGCTTCTGCATTAGCTCGGCCCCCACAGACACATCTTGCCGAGTCAAGAGCCTCTATGGCCTAGAGGGGGCCCAGGGGGTCTCTCCCATCAGGAAGCAAATGGCAGAAAAACAACAATCCACACCAGGTGACAAAAGCCTTAAAAATGTAGCCAATACATTTTTTTCCCTGGACCTCATACTGGTGTGACCAAGAAAGATGGCCTCTGGCCTAAGAAAGATACATGCTAAGAATTTATACATTCTAAGAAAATAATTGGGGATATACACAAAGATTTGTCTATACTTAGAGCATTATTTATGGCCCGCCTCAAGTCCCTGAGTAGAGGACTGCCTGAGCACACCCAGGATGGAGGGCTCTGCAGCCGTAAGTACCCTACTGAGGGAGAAATCGTCAAAGATTTGAAAAAAATGATCAAGATTTGATTTGAGGTTAAAAAACAGATTAAAAATATTTATCCATTTTATCCCGATTGTATCACGTTTCCAGAGATGAACGAACTGGAAGGAAATGCATCAGATACTAATGAAAGTTAGGTTTGGAGGGTGGGGATTCTAGGCTCAAGAACCTAGAGAATTGTTTAAGTTTTTTGCCTCTCTGGATTCCAAATTTCCTATAATAAATAAGGCATTACTTTTGTAGTTAGAAAAAAGGGATTATTTTAAAAATTACGTTAGTGTATGTTAGCCTTACGCACGTCGATTCCGGACAGACATCCGACACAAGCTATACCGTACTGCCCAGCATCGCGTGTCTCTCGTGATGCTCACAGTCCTAGGCGCCTGCTGGAACGGCTGCTTCAACATCATGAGGGATTCACATTCCTTATAAGGTCGTGACTGAGAACTTGGACAAAGACCACATTTCTGACTACACCCATGGTGAGCAAGCAAGGGGCTTAGACGGAGATACACTGGAAGGCACTTAGAAGTCACCCTGCATTTCCAGCGGTCTATGAAACACCACTGTCACACCAGTGTGAGGTCCAGCGGAAAAACTGTATGAACACAGCTTTTCCGGCCCATAACACTGTCTTTACCACTGTCCTGACTGCTTAAATATGAAATTTCTGACAATGATCATTATCTGGAGTATAGTTTTAAAAACCCACCCATGACCACTGTTGGTCTTGCTTCCCTCAGAGACAAAGAGCAGTTGGCAAATGTGTTGGAGGAAGCCCACCATAGAACTAAACATACAACATGTTTCTGGACGCTAACGTGAAAATGGTCACACCTCACTCCTCTTTCCACACCAGTGAAACTTAGCCATGCCTGGCAAGCCTGAGTCTGATTCTTTTATAATATTCCCAGAGGCATATTCTTGGAGGAATGAAGTTTGATATTTAATTTCTAATTAAATCAATATTGGACTTCATGCCCAGTCAGTCCAAAAAGACTATGTGACCTCACCTCTGTCCTGTCAGACTGCAAACACATCTTAGATCCCCTCCCCTGAGAAATCTGCCACTTCAACCTCAATGGGCATTTAGGTTTCTGTAAGATTCTCGATGCAGTGAATTTGATGGGATGTTTTGCTCAGCGCCACCCAGTTCTGAATAGATAGCCAATATTTATATTACTTGGCCCCTAAAAGAAGGCACATTCCCATAGGAGACATACCTGCTGTGTCGATCCTCAAGACTTCAAAAAGCAAGAAATCAGCCTTCTCTTTTGAGAGCCATCTGTGCAAATTTCGGACGTCAGCAGCTTTGAGAACCTTGAAAGGCGGCCCACTCTGGATGTAAAACACAATGATGGTGCTGCAGAAGACAAGGGGAGAGGACAGCCACGCGGTCAGGTGGCGGCCGAGAGGACAGGTCTGCCCTGGCCCTCTGACCAGTGAGGGTCTTGACTGCCCCAGCTGGGTGGGTTGGCAAGGACACAGGGCATCTCTTGTAGGCCAAGGAACTGATCCGTGTTTATTCACGAACACAGACTCCTCATTCCCAGAGCTGTCTAGTCACTGGGTGACAGTCACACCTCTAGATTAATGGGGCAATATGCTGGTGTGTGGAAAGAGACTCAGCCGTCCACACGGCAATGTCAACTTTTATCTTGGACTGAGATAGAATTTACTTGCACTGGCACTCGCCCTTCTAAATGGTACCACTCAGCGGCATTTGCATATTCACCGCACTGGGCCACCATGGCCGCCATGTGACTCCAGAACATCGTCATCCCTTCCGGACAGAACCCTGTGCCCATGAAGGAGTGACCCTTCATGCCTTCCTTTCTCCGGACTCTGGCAACAAATCATTCTCTTTCTGTTTCTCCTGGTCTGACTGTGCGTTTGCTACACGTCACGCATGAGGCGCTCTGCTGTGTTTGCTATAAATGACACACACACAAGGCGCTCCGCGTCCTGCTTCTTCCAGCGAGCATGCGGTGTTTGCGGTTTATCCGTGTCGTTCTGTGCACCATGACTTCCTTCCCCTTGATGCCAAACCCTAGTCCGACATCCCTCACTGAATTACCCGCTTAGCCACTGATGACGTTCACACTGTCTCCCCTTTTTGGCTGTACGGATTCGGCTGAATGTGTAAATGTTGGTGTGCAAGTTTGTGTGTGGACACACACTGATTGTTTCTCTTGGATATGAACCTAGGAGAGGAGTCACCGGGCTGCACGGTAACTGCTCAGCACTGGTTTCTACACTGGCCGCCCAGCTCTGCATTCCCACCAGCAATGCAGAGGGTTCCGATTTTTCCGCATGCTCACCAGTATTTGTTCTGGTTCATTTTCTGGATTAGAGTCACCCCAGTGGGTGTGAGGTGCTTCTCAAAGGGGTTTCGCTTTGCATTTCCCAATAGCTCAGGATCCAGAGCACCTTTTCATGTGCTGATTAGCCATTCCTAAGTCTTCTCTGGAGACCTTTCTATTCAAATCTGTATTGGTTTTCAAGGTTGCCATTAAAACTGCCATGAACTGGAGAGCTTATCACAACAGAAGTTTATTTGCAGTTCTGGAGCCTCGAAGCTCAAAATCAAGGTGTTGTCAGGGCCATCCTGTCTCTGCAGGTGCTAGAGGAGAACCTGTCCCACACCCTTCTCGTGGCTCTCGATGGTGGGCGCTCTGTGCTTGCTGAGGCATCCACCTCACCTCTGCCTCTGTTGTCACGTGGTCATCTCCCTGTGCGTCTGTTTCTGAGTCTCTTCTTATAAGGACACAGTCACACTGGGTGAAAGGCCCACCCTACTACAGCAGTATGACCTGATCTCAACTATCTCTGTCTGCAGAGATCTTATTTCTGCAGAGGCTCACACAGGTAGTAGTGGTCAGGACATAAATGTAGCTTTTGAGGAGACATAGCTTTTGAGGAGCCTACAAGTGTTTGTAGCATGAAAGGCTGCTGGATTTTATCAAATGCTTTTTTCTGTGCCTACTAAGATGATCACATGGCTTTTATCCTTTATTACAGGACAAAAGGGTTTATTACATTTATTGACCTCCCCTGCATGCCTGGGAAAAATTCCACTTGGCCATGTGTCTACTACTTTCAATATGTTGCTGCACGCAGTTTCTAAGTATTTTTTTGAGCATTTCTGCTTCTATATTCATAAGGGATATTGGCCAGTAGTGTTTCTTTTTCCCTTGGGAATGTCTCTGGTTTTATTTTTAGTTCTTTATTTTAAAGATTTTTATATACTTGAGAGAACGAGCAGGGGAGAGGGGCAGAGGCAGAGGGAGAAGCAGACTCCCCACTGAGCATGGAGTCCAACGTGGGGCTCGACCCAGAACCCTGGGGTCACAACCCAAGCCGAAGGCAGACGTTTCACTGACTGAGCCCCCCAGGTGCCCTTCTGTCTGGTTTTCATATCAGAGTAAAAACTGACCTCCTAGAATGAGTTGGAAAGTGTTCCCTCCTCTTCTATGTTTTCAAAGAACTTGTGTAAGTGGTGGTAAATCTTTAAATGTTTGGTAGAATTCACCAGTGAAGCCATCTGGTCCTGTGCTTGGTAGGAAGTTACTGATTCCTAATTTAATCTCTTCACTCGCTACAGGTCCGTTAAGATTTTTCATTTCTTCTGGAGTCAGTTGGTATAGTTGCTTCTTTCTAGGACTGCATCCATTTCATCCAGGTTAACTAATTTGTTGACATGCAATTGCTCATAGAATAATTCTTTTTATTTCTATGTGGTTGGTAGGATTACCCCCTTTCAATCCTGACTTTACTAATTTGAGTCTTCTCTATTTTCTTGGTCAGTCTAGCTAAAGGTTTATCAATTCCATTGATTTTTCAAAGAAATAGCCTCTGGTTTTGTTGACTTTCAGACTTGTTCCATTCAATGTTTGATATTTTGTAAGTAAGGGAAATGTGTGATTTGTTTTGATAGAGTTCTATGAAAAAATACAATTTTCCTTTAACTTGGTATTTTTCTAAGTAAACTTCAGTTGTCCAGAAAACAATTCAAACAGAGTGGCTGACAGTAACTAATGGATTTTCTGTGAATGGTAGGTTTTCTTTCCCATATCCTTTCTCTTCTCCCACCCTCCCCTACTACTCATAGACTGGATAAACATTAAAAAAACAAAAGCATAATTAAATAGATAAATCTTGTAAGAAATAAAGGCTGGCGGTTTAGCCTCCTAGACTCTCAGAGGACAGCAACGGTAAGCAATGTTCCTCTCACGCCGAGAGAAGCCTCAGTCCTGGAATGTGGGGCAGCGATGAAGCCGGCTGTGAGACACGCTCTGCGTCAGGCATTCGCATGACCTCCAAAGACAGCAGAGCTAAAGGACCCGTTCTGGCTGACGTTTGCTAACTCCTTCATCTGGTACAGGCTCAGTCAACATTTACTGAGACCTGAAGGAGGGACCTGGAATGACACTGCCCTTCCTGCTGCCCTTTGAGCAAAAGAATGTATGGATGAGATACAAGTGTGAGCAAAACAACAAGCAAAGGAAAGAAACAGGGTCCTGCCAGACAGGCGTACGGCGCACACCTGAAGTCTGAGTGGGCCTGGATCTTCTGAACCTTAACATCTGAGTCCAGCACATTCAGCAGGGCTGCCAGCTGCCTCACGAGGGTGTCCTTCTGCTGCTCGGTCAGCTGCCCCACGCCCACCTGCAGGATCAGCTCCACCAGTGCACTCTTCCTGGGGTCTGGGAAAAGAGAGCACATGGGGTTTCCACTTGGAAATCATGCTGGACAATGTAAGGAGCGAGGCCTGCACAAGGGTTTAAAGAGTTTAAAATGATCCCTGGTAACTTCTTAGGACTAAGGTTGGACTCAGTTTACCAAACAGTACAGCGGCTGCTGTCTGAGAGTGCTTTCTCCTTGTTTTACCCAAGTCTGTGTCTATTAATTTCTTCCCGGAAGATAATCAGGGGCACCTAAACAGCCTGTGGGCTACCTTGAGATTTGGGCACTGCACACTTTTTCCTTGGGCTATGCGGCGGCAGCTGCTGCTCTAGCCACAGTGACATGGGGGATATGGGGGTCCCTTGCCGGAGCTGCCCCCCTCTGTGCTCCCACACTGAAGCTCCCGTGGCCACCTCGCATTCCGACAGGAACACAGAAGTGACATGAGATCCCAGCTCACTGTTGTGGTTTGGAGGCTGAGTCTTCTGGGGGTAAACAGCGAACAGGAGGGAAAGCCGTGCCGTGGCTCTGGCCAGGAGCCAAAGCCAGCCCCGGGGGCCACCCCACCCGGGGGGCCCCTGTCCACTGCAAAGAGCCCAAAAGTGGGCCGCCCAGGTTATAGACCAGCACGTCACCCCAGGCGCACCTGGCCGCACTTCCACGGTGGCTGTGTCCGTGTCCGAGGCCCCCTGACCGTCAACGACTTGCAAGCGGAACGTGTAGACGCCCTCCACCAGATTGGTAAGCTGCAGGGCCGCGCTGTGGTCGGAGCCGCCGATGACATCCTGCAAAATAACGTCCGTCGCCAGCCAACACTCCCAACTTCAGGCCCACTGCTGATCCCAGACCTCGGAGGCCCATCTCTTTCATGTGTGCGTGACTGTAAGGGGCAGGCTGAAGAGGGAGATGGCTGGTGGGTCAGCTGAAGAGAGGGGCTCCTCAGCAACTCTCCCACAGAAAGCGCCGGGGCGCTCAGATTCTCAGCCGGGACGTCTGAGCTGCGCTTACTGAGGGCCGTCCGGCCATTACCAGATCGTTCAGTTCCTCCAACAGAGGGAAAAACCGTTGACGTGAGGGTCAAGCACCCCTAACACAGTTTTACAATAGTCTCAACTTGGGTTCCCTCCTAATGTATCACATTTACCTTCTCAAATGACCCAAGAGCCCAAGGAGAGTATTTCTGTTCCCGGGGGTTCCCAGTTCCAAAGAATTAGAGAAGAACCCTGGACGCCCCTGGTCTGCACTTGCTAAGAGAAGGGGACCCTAAGCAAAGGTAACATGTGCTCTGAACGGAGAACCTTCATCCTGAAAAGCTAATCCCCCCTCTAGCTGAAGAGCACTCATTCCAGAGGTGTTTCGGAAAGCGTAAAGCATGTTCAGTTCCCTCCTTGTGACGATTTCCTTTATTTTTTTTTTAAGATTTATTTATTTGAGAGAGAGGGTGAGGGCATGCATGCGAGAGCAGGGGAAGGGCAGACCGAGAGGCAGAGAAGCAGACTCTGCTGAGCGTGGAGCCCGACAAGGGGCTCAATCTCACAACCCTGAGATCATGACCTGAGCCGAAATCAAGGGTCAGACGCCTGGCTGACAGCCTCGCAGGCACTGCTCCCTGGCCCCCACAACCACTTCTTTGGTGCATGTCCAAGAGCACATCTGCAACTCCGAAGTCTTTAGCAACAGCACGAATGAAAATGCGCCTACATTTATAGCCTAAGGAGTGGAGGGATCTAATGGGGAGAAATGTCTGCCAGGAGCTAAAACTTGGGTCTGTCTGGTCTGATTAAGCATGACTTGGTTGACCTTGTCCAAGACATTTTCCAACTCTGCATCATGCCTCCTGTACTTGTGAAAGGGGAATGGCAATCCTTGGCCAACTGCCCCAGCTGGCACGATGAGGAGAAAAGGAGAGAACCCACTCGGACCCAAACAGGAACAGCGGGGAAGCCGAGGAGCAGAATGAGTCCCAGTGGAGACTCCACACCCAAGTCCCCCGGGCTATGGTTTCCTACCTGACCCAAGTCCGGTGGGAAAACATCAGAGAGGGCTTCCGCCTTTGCTTGAATCTAAGAGCAGCTTGCCGCCTCCAGGCCTCCGAGGAAACCAAGAAGCATAAGCACCTTCGTGGGGAGCACGGAAAGGGAGACGAGGCCCCAACGGAAATGATGTCTAGCACTGAGCTGTGCCCAGGCCTTCACACTCATCTGCTGAAGCCCCAGCCACTGGCGGGGCTGACTGTGCTCGAAACAGGGCCCGTGAGGAGGTAGTTAGGGGTACACGAGGTCACAGGGTGGGGTCCTGATTCCACGGGATTAAAGTCCTTGAAGGAGACACCCCAGAGGGCCCTCCCTCTCTGCCATGTGGGTGCACAGCGAGAAGGAAGTCACCTGTGAGAACTCTGACCAGCAGCCAAATCGTCCTGAGCCTTAACCTTGGACTTCACGGCCTCCAGGACTGGGAGACATGTCTGTCTGTCGTGGAAGCCGCCCAGTCCGTGGTCTTTCCTCATAGCAGCCCGAACAGACTGATTCCACATGATGGAAGTGGGACGACTCTGGTCAAGCACTCACCCCGGCGGCTGGGCTCTGGCCGTCCCGGACCCACAGGTAGGACACAACTCCCTGGTCATCCGTAGACCTCGAACCATCCAAGGTAATGCCGTTACTAGGCAGCACAAGCACACGGTGGCCACCAGCATGGGCTCTGGGAGGGCTGTTGTTTGCTGCGTCAAAGACAGCAAAAACAAAAACAAAGAGACGGATGTGACATGCAGGTGGCAGAAGTGGGGCATGGACCACCCGCAACGGCTCCCCCTTGCACATGTGTAGATCCGCAGTGTCCGAGAGGCACTGCTTCCCACCCGTCATGTAGAGACTTCCTTAAAGCTCGGTTTATGCGTGGTTGTAATTTCGCAGCCTGTACCCTGGGGAGTTTTCTAATACCACGAAAGTTTTCCTCTTTTTGAAAAAGAGACAATGACCTTCCTTATCAGGGTCCAGAAAGTGAAAATATTTTAGTTTAAAATATATTCTGATTCATTATGTCCTGGTGCATACTATCTGGCCCAGAAATACTTATTTCTACAAGTGCCACCTCTTGCTTAAGTCATTAAAACTTGAGTCAAAAATAATCAGGGCTTCACTCCCCCTACAGGGTGTTAAACAAGCACGAACAAGGTAAGAGCCATTTCTGATACAATCACCTCAGGAGAGGGGGGCCCCAGAGAGAATGGGGTGCGGGGGAGACCAGAATAAGGCACAGCTCCACTGTGAGGACAAGGGAAACTGCTGTGAGGGAAATCCTGCCTGTTCAGGTGCCCTCTGGGACCCTACGTGACCCCTTGCAAGTCAAGCAAAAGTCATGGGGTGAGGATATCCAGACACTGATCCAAGGGAGCAAGGAGCACCCCGCCAATCACTGGTCACTTTCCTCCAGAGAAAACAGCCCAGAGGTTAGAGTAGAGGTACCTGGTACCATTAGTAGCGTTTCCACACTGTTCACCACACGCCCCTTCTGGAACGACTTGTGGGGAGAACCTGGTGTTAAGGAGGCTTAGTTCTGCTGTGGACCACGGGGAGGCTGGAAACCACAGAAACAGACTACAGCAGACTGCATAAGCCCGAAACTCCTTCTGTGAGAAATGATTACGAGGGCTTCTCTCGCTTCCAGGCTGGACGAAAGCAGCCACTCCCTTCCACGCTTATGTCCCTGCCATCTTGAACACTGTCAGGAGGCTCCCCGGGCACTCTCCGGACAGACCATCACCGCAAATCTGCTATGGCCAAACTCAAGCCCCTGCAAACCCGCAGCCGCTCTTGTCTGGACGGAGGCCAGAGCATGGCGCCCCCGCCCACCCGTGCACTGAAGTCACTGGCCCTGAGTCACCGAGACACCCACCATCTTTCTTCCCCCCAGAACCACTGAGGCATCAAGTCCTGGGACTTCAGCTCTAAGATGTCTTTCTGGTCAATCCCTTCCCCTCTGCCCTCCCTGCTGCTGACCTCCCTTCCCATCAAACCTTTTGTAAAATCCCAACCCTCTCAGGTAAAATGACATGGTGCGAGGGTTTGCTTTAAAAGACTCCAACCAAACTAAAAGAAAATATGAATGGCTAGATGAAACAAGATTGGCAAACTGCTCACAGCTGTTGAAGCTGGGTGATGGGGACATAATGGTCCACTGAGCCTTGTTTCTCTGCTTTTACTTACGGTTGAAAACGTCCACCATAAAACATCTGAAAACATCCCCATCTATGTCCTTTGCTGATAAAACTGCTCCAGCCACTCCCGCCTGGCGCGCAGATGAAGGCCCCCACCTCCCTGGCCTGACACTCAACCCTTCAGAAGCTCGGGCCCTCCCCAGCACCCCTGCATGGGGTCGTCCTTGACTTTCTCTGTCCAGCGCGCCCTCGGACAGCTCTGTGCTTCCACATGTCATGACCCTGCGTTCATTCGCACACGCATCCCTTCCTTCCAGCACCCAGCATTTGCGAGCTGCCATGAGCCTTGCACAGTGACACATAGGACACAGAAATGTCTGGAACAAAGGTCCTCAAGCAGAGTGGCACGAGACTAGACCACAAGTTAAGAAACAATATGGAACACAAAAACATCTCTGCTCTTCGACTCCCAGTTTGGAGAGAGCATAGTGCCGTCACATCTCATGGCCAGTGGTCACAGAAGGATCGTGAGGCCACAGAAGGCTCACTCAACACACAAAAGGAAATGCTGTTTCTCTGCAGACGGAGGCTGGACCCAGCGAGCGTGCGCAGAGGAAGAACGGTGTTTTCTCGGCCGACCTCAGCTTGGCATGTGCTGCAAACCGATCAACAGCAGCGCTCCTGAACAGCCGTGCCTGAGAGTCCTGTGAGACGGGAAAGCAGGAGGCGCCCGCCGGCCGCGGTGCCAGGACTCACCCTTCCTCACGGCCATGGTGAGGGTACTTGTGCCGCTCAGCCCCTGCAGGTCCGTCACGGTCACACGGGAGCGGTGGGCACCCGCCTGGAGCGCCCGCACGGCGTCTACGGCCTCATCGGGATCGTCCACCTGCCTGGCGCCGGGGCCTCTGTGAAACAGGGAGGCAAACAACAGACGGAGCGGGCACGGTGTTCTGACTACGGCAGGCATGGTATCTGTGTCCTTATAAAAGCCCCATTTTGCAGCTAAAACATAGCCTCCAGTGAGTTCTAAGATGACTTTTTAGCCACTTATATTCTCTAGTTGAGGTTATAGGTCAAAGTAATGCCTACTTTAGACTGAGCCTGCAGAATTCCTAGGAAGAGGATTTGGGTTTTTTTTGTTTTGTTTTTTTAAGAATGTATTTATCTATTTATTTTAGAGAAAGAGAAAGCGCACAAGCAGGGGGAAGGGCAGAGGGAGAGGAAAAACCTCAAGCAGACTCCACACTGAATGAGGAGCCCGACGTGGGACTCGATCTCAGCTCCCTGAGATCGTGACCTGAGCTGAAACCAAGAGTCGGACGCTTAACTGACTGAGCCACCCAGGCGCCCCACTGTTTTGTTTTTGTTTTTAAATTGAGCTCTCAGTGAAATGATCTCTTTGGCAAACGAAGTCTTAGAAACTACTCTCATTTCCTCTGAATGAAATTAGGTTAAACCCTCATCTGCCTTGACAGAGAGTATGGGAGAGGAGGGGATGAGCCAAACCAGGGGTCTCCTCCGGGGAATTACAGTGTGGTCATTAAGATCGTGGGCCCTGTCGTCAGAAAGACCCAGCTCCCCCCTTTCTGTCCAGGCAAACCTAGGCTGGTGACCTCACCAGGCTCTGACAAGCAGAGCAGATGGTCTGAGTGAGGGTAGACAGGAGGCCTCATGAGGGCCTCACACATGTCTCCCAGCCCCTTGTGTGTCACAAAGCTCACCCACACCCAGACGGCTGCATCCACCTGGCGTGGCACCACCTCCCTCTACTGCCAGTGAACATCTATCTTGTCCATCCACACTCGATCTACTCTTCAGCAACAGTGCTCCTGACTCCCCAGTGTGCTCTAGGTGAGTGTTTAATCTGGACCCTCCAGAGAGTAGGCAATGTTAGCCCTGGGCCAGGGGCATGACCCCAACGGCTCAGTGGTAAGACAGCCTACCTGACGTGCTCCCAGTGGGAGAGGGCGATGCCCTGGTCTTCCGTGCTCCTGCTGCCATCTAGCGTGGTGCTCTCCACTGAGAAGATCAGCTCCTTGTCGGGGCCAGGCACAGCCACTGGAGGCCTGTTGCTTTCTAGAATTACAGAAATGATGTGAAACACTATTATCTCTTTGCATGAAGCCTGTGATCCCCTGATTTCTTGATTGAAGCAAATTATTCCTACTTGTATCAGGGGGCTACTAGAGTGTGCGGCGTCCTGGGGAGAAACACTGCAGGCTCTTGGCTGAGCGAGGACTTCAGTGTTTTGGGGTGAGACAGGGGTCCAGACAGCAGGAAATATTGTTCCCTAATAAATACATGTTTGGTTTCCTTAAAAGACCTCAAGGGGTGCCTGGGTGATTCAGTCGGCTAAGTGTTTGACTCTCGATTTTGGCTCAGGGCATGATCTCAGGGTTGTGAGACTGAACCCCCTATCACATCAGACTCCACACTGAGGGGGGAGTCCGCTTGAGCTCAGCTCCCCCCTCCTCATGCATCTGTGTGCATGTGCACTTTCTCTCTCTCTCTCCAACAAACAAATAAATAAAGAAAAGACTCAAAAGTCACAGAGTCAAGAGAGAAGGAAAAGGAACAGCATGGACAGATACAGAGAAGGACTGGGGATAGGGTGGGGGGAGGCAGGCAGGCAGGAACTGGAAGGAAGTGAGTCGACAGTTGCTTTTTCAAGCAGGACTTACTCCCTTTTGTCTTTGTAGCCCCAGTGCCTAACACGGGGCCTGGTAAATAATAAATGCTCGAACCATTTCAGTTAAATGTTGAACAATAGTAAGTGATAGATGGGACGTCCAGCTGGCTTGGTCGGTAGAGCACATGACTCTTGATCTCAGGGTTGAAGTTCAAGTCCCACGTTGGGTATAAAGATTACTTAAAAATAAAATCTTAGGGGCACCTGGGTGGCTCGGTGGGTTGGGCCACGGCCTTCAGCTCGGGTCATGATCTCAGGGTCCTGGGATGGAGCCCCGCATCGGGCTCTCTGCTCAGCGGGGAGACTGCTTTCCCCATCTCTCTCTGCCTGCCTCTCTGCCTACTTAAGATTTCTCTGTCAAATAAATAAATAAAATCTTTAAAAAAAATAAAAAATAAAATCTTAAAAGAAAGATTAAAAAAAGTAAAAGATGCAAAGTATTGCTGATATTGATACCAGAACTAAAATGGTCAAATTTTCTGTTAAAAAGAAAGTCACAGAGTCAAACACTGAAGCAGCTAATACTCAGTATCTCAACCACGTCCAAGCCTCACTGTGCTGCTCAGCAGAGCTCAGTGGTCCCCGGGTTCTCTTACCCTTCGGATATAATACTCACGCGACCATTGCCACAAAGCCCTTGACGTGAGCCCCTGCCTCTCTCCACAGCATCTCTTGGCCTTCTGATCCCTGTGCCTCACACTCCCTCGTCCTCACTGCTTTCTTTTTCCCACCACACTCTTCCTCATTCCTTCAACTACCAAACTCCCTTTCATTCCATGGCTTTTATATGTTGTTTGCTTTGCCTAAAAACCTCTTCCCCTTGCCCTTCTCTCCCCAGATTCACCTGGCCAGCTGCAGACCTGAGCTCAGGTAAGACTCTGCAGATGCCTTAAGCCCAGGTAGGTGTGTCCTTTTGCGGGCTGCAGCGGTTCTGACTTCATCCCCTAGAAATGCACGGATCTTGTGGTTTTGTTTTTGTTTTTTAAGATTTTATTTATTTATTTGACAGACAGATCACAATTAGGCAGAGAGGCAGGCAGAGAGAGGAAGGGAAGCAGGCTCCCTCCTGAGCAGAGAGCCTGATGCGGAGCTCGATCCCAAGACCCTGGGATCATGACCTGAGCCGAAGGCAGAGGCTTAACCCACTGAGCCACCCAGGTGCCCCGATCTTGTGGTTTTTCAGTGGACTTCCCCATGAGCCCTGGGAGGACGGAGACCAAGTTTTTCTTGTTTAATTCCACATCCCTGGGTCTAACCACTAACCCTTACTACATATTAACTGAATAAATAAAATAAATAAACGTATCGCCTATAAGTTGAATATATTGTCAGTTGCCAGTATATTGGACAGTGACCAGGATCAGCAGCATCTTCTAGAAAAGTTCTAAAGCAAAGAGCACTGTCAAGCAAAACCCTAACTACCCTTAAGGTTATTTAAATCTGCAGGAAGGCAGAGCCCTGGGTTTTCATGAAACCATTAACGAACTGGGAGCTGATCTGGAGTCAAGTGTCCATTTGGCTATGAACCACGGAGCTACCAGGCCACACATCATGACCAGACTCTTCAAGAAGGCCCTGGAGGTCTGCAGCAGGGTGGGATACGTGGGGAACTGTCTACCTGGCAAGTGGAGCCCGCGAGGGGCCCTGAGGATATCCGTCTGGGTCTCCATGCCATGGTTTCAAGACACAGTTAACACAAGATTCTGAACCACAATAGAAACCTAGCTTTGCATTAAGATCCAGCTTCTCCAGCCCCGATTTTCTGATAGTTAAGAGATTTAGAGAATTTGCCTCCAAATTTGGCTTGTCTGAAGCCCAGAAGCCCAGGTGTCATTTCTGCCTTAATCTCTGGGGCCACAGCCCTCTTCCAGCTCACCCACCGGGCTGGACAGTCACAGCGACCATAGCCGTGGACTACTGCTTTGAAGAATCCGTCACCGTCAGCTGGAATGTATAGTCTCCTTCCTGCAGGGCAGACAAATGAAGGTATGGCGTCTTGACGCCCTAAGTAATAGCAAATAGAGATGAAAAAGAAAAAATAGTTTTAAAAAGTAAGTAGTATAATGTAATGAAAAATGAGTGCTTTTGCTAAATATGGAGATCCTGCCTGAAAAAGAAACGTGTGTGCCCCAGGAAAATGCAAACTAAAGGTCGGTGTGTATCCTCCTATGCTGCTGAAGCACTATAAATTGATCTGGACTTTTGGAGGCCCATGTGGCAACATCCAGTGCCATGGTAAATGAGCACAGTCTCCCCAGGGATTCTACTTCTAACCACCTACCCTAGAGAATGCCCATGCATGCAGGAGCCTCACACCCGGATGCCAACAGAAGCCTTGACAGTGGAAAGAGTCTAACTGTTCAGTAACAGTGGGGCACCTGGGTGGCTCAGTTAAGAGTCCAACTCTTGATTTTGGCTCAGGTCAGGATCTCAGGGTCATGAGATTGAGCCCTGTATTGGGCTCCACACTCATCAGGGAGTCTGCTTGAGTTTCTCTCTCTCTAAATAAATGCACACATGCATACGTACGTACGTACGTACGTACATACATACATACATAAGTAAATGTTCATCAACAGGGCGTGGCCAGACTCACCATAATATACTACAATGCTAGTTTGGGGAAAGTTTAAAAGAGTAAGGTAGATTGATACATACTGAAATGGAGTGGGACTCCATGCTAGGCGTGGAGCCTACTTAAAGAAAAAAAAAATGTCTGTAGCTGATAAATAATGAAATGCAAAGATGCCAAAGACATATCATCAAGCAAAACGAGAAAGTTGCGGAACGATGCATACAGGGGGACGGATATTTCTCTGCACACATATGCATATCCACAGAACACATCGAAAAGATTCTGTAAGGATAGACATTAAACTGATAAAAGTAATCACCTCCAAAGGAGACTGGGGTACGATCAAGGTACATTTGTACTTTATTAGGAGTTAACTTTTTTTTTTTTAAGATTTTATTTATTTGACAGACAGAGATCACAAGTAGGCAGAGAGGCAGGCAGAGAGAGAGGAGGAAGTAGGCTTCTCACTGAGCAGAGAGCCCGATGTGGGGCTGGATCCCAGAACCCTGGGATCATGATCTGGGCGGAAGGCAGAGGCTTTAACCCACTGAGCCACCCAGGCGCCCAGAAGTTAACTTCTTTTAACTACAAGAAACAATTCATGAATTACTATTATAAGTAAAAATATTTTTTTCAAACTCTTAAGATAATATAATTTTTCAATAAGATATTTTTTTTTCAATTGAGTATATAATAGCTACACTTGTCTCCAGGTTAATAACCTTTCCCTTTGTTGCTATTGTGTTGCTGTCGGTAACATTTCCGATTACTGCTTATGTTTGAGATTCATGGCATCATGGGAAGGATTTTTAATCGTAAATCCTATTATTATTTATTTACTTTTAGAAATCCCAAGATTGTCTAAAGATAAACGTACCTGCATGTGTTTGCTAAAGGTTTTAATGGAAAATTGAAAAAGAAAACTGATAGAAAATCAATTGCGTTTTATCACAAGGGGAACTATGAATCTTGAAATACACACTTTTAAGAACTTAGAGAAGGTGATTTTCCTTACTTTGAAATAAAGCAAAGTATTTTGCTATGAAAAACTCCATGAAATTATAATTTCCTAGTACTTACTTCACAATTAATGTGGTTACATAAATGCTTATGCACACGGTACAGGGAATGTTGTGGCAAATGGGAAGCGGGCAGAATCACACATATCCCCAAACACCCTCAAAGCCACCATACCCTCCAGGTAATAGCAGTGAACTTCCCCCAGGTCTCAGCAGGACGCCCTACATGATGTTTAGACCAAGACTCCAGTTTACAGAGTCATCTTGGTGATTGCCCCAGCTAATAAAAAGATCACTCATTTTAACATCTTCATCGATCAGTCACAAGGCAATGACCTTGTTACTGTGGATAATCTCAGAGTGTCTGTTGCAGAAGGGTAGGTGTGGAGGAGCTCGGACACATGTCAGGCAGACATGGATGAATTCTGGGGTGTGAACTTTGGGCACACAATTCTCAAAAACTAAAGGAAATAAAACTCTGTTTTTTAAAAAATTTTATTTATAAGTAATCTCCACACCCAATGAGGGGCTCTAATGGACAACCCTGAGATTTAAGAGTCGCACACCCTTCCAAATGAGCCAGTCAGGTGCCCCTGGACTATTCTTTTAACCAAGGAAATACAAAATATCCCATCCTTCTGTTTTGCATCCAAAGCCCTCTGAATCAGAATTCGCAGCCCAACAGAAGCAAACAGCACATACCACAACCCTTAGACAGAGGTGGACACTACAACATGGCCCTCAAGTTCCATAATCCCAACCAGTCATTTTAAATTCATCATAATTGCAAAATACTGTCCAGAAACATCAGAAAGGAAAGTAGGTAAGCGTTCATGGGATATCTGACTTCATCTAAAATTTTAACAAGAAACTGATGTTGGACAGATGAGATGGAATTTGAAGAAGTACAAGGTGGCAATATAACATTCTACCTTTTTCCCATTAAACTTCCAAATAGTAAAGAAAAATATTTGCATAGTCCCTGCAAGTAGTTTAAACTTTGAAATAATAACCTGAAACTAACATAACGCTGTATGTTACCTGGAATTAAAATACAAACAAAAGGGGTGCCTGACTGGCTCGGTCAATAGAGCATGAGACTCTTGCTCTTTGGGTCGTGAGTTCAAGCCCAGGCGTAGGGCTTAGATACACACACACACACACACACACACACATAAAATAACTGAAAAAAGAATAAAGTGAAAACTGTCAAATAATAGAACAACTTAAAAATAGCAAGGTGGTTAGCAAAAAATCCCAAATAGTCTGGCCATCACCAAAAGAAGAAGCAAATAGCTTATACACAGTCATGTGCACACATACCACTCATGGCAAAATTGTCTATGATAGGTAGTATGTCTTTAGACAAATATATTTAAGATTTGAGCAAATTAAAATTTAGATACTAAAAGCTCTTAAAAAGAAATCACTAGATCCAGAAATTTCTGGATCTATTTTAGAAATGAAGTTTCTAAAAATGTGAGAAATAAAATAAGGAAAATTCCCTGATGATAAAGTTTATGTTGGATTATTTCAAAATTTTCTCCCAATAATAAAATAATATTTCTGTAGCAAATGTTGCGTCAGACTTTCCCCAAACTAGCTTCAAGATCAAGCTATCAACACAGGACCCACTTAGTTTCTATTCTGTGCTAAAAGAGAATGGGTGAGGGGGAAGGATGTACGTTTGGGAGATCTATGACTTTTAGGTACTCTTCTAACAGTTGTAATATCTCAAACAATCTTATAATCTTATAATCATATATTTTCTGGATCTATAACACATAACAATAATTTAAGTAGATAGGAAGGTAGATAGATGTGTGAACAGTTTTAAATGGATGGACAGATGTACAGATGGGTGGATGGTTGGTTAGATGAGTAGGTGGGTGGATGGTTGGTTAGATGAGTAGGTAGGTGGATGGGTAGATAGGTAGATCGATGGATGGGTAGTGGGTGGGTAGGTGGATGGATGGATGGATGGATGAGTGGGTAGACGGATGGATGGATGGGTGGATGGGTGGGTGAATGGATGGGTAGATAGATGAATGGCTGGGTGGGTGGATGGATGAATGGGTAGATGCATGGATGGATGGGTGGGTGGGTGGGTGGGTGGATAGGTGGATGGATGGATGGATGGATGGATGGATGGATGGATGGATGGATAGGTGGGTGGGTGGGCAAGTGGTTGGATAGATGTGTAGGTGGGTGGGTAGATGGATGGATGTGTGGGTGGGTGGATGGATGGGTGGGTGGATAGATGGATGGGTGGGTGGATGGATGGACGGGTAGATGGATGGATGGATGGGTAGATGGATGGATGCATGGGTGGGTGGATGGATGGACAGTGGATGGGTGGATGGACGGATGGGTAGATGAATGGATGGGTGGGTAGGTAGATGGGTAGGTGGTTGGTTAGATGGGTGGGTGGGTGGGTGGGTAGGTGGTTGGTTAGATGGGTGGGTGGGTGGGTAGGTGGATGGATAGACAAGTAAAAGTCTGAAGGCAGGATAGAGAACTTGCCTGCATGGCCACCTCTTTGCTCTCACTCCCTGGACCCAGGGACCACTCATAGACGACAATCTGGTGATCATCACTGCTCTGGTTTCCATTCAAAGTGATGGAGTTTTGGGGCAAAGTTATGGTCTGATCTGGTCCTGCATTAGCAACTGGAGGATGGTCCACAGCACTGTTGACTATGAGGGCTGCAGTTGTGGAGTTAGTGGCTCCATCCGAGTCTGTAACAGTCAGTCTACAAAAAAGAGAGGAAGCCATCATGCTGCAAGAAGATGCCAAATTTTAACGACAAATGGTCCATTTAGTCTGCCCACAATACACTTCTCAGAAAAACTCAGCAGAGGTGTAAACAGAAATTTGAGGATGAGACCGTGAAAGAACAGAGCACCTGAGGTTTTTGGTTTTTTGTTTTTAATTTGCTGCTGTTGGTTTATTTTATTTTTAGCTAGTAATACAGTCACATGATGGAGTTTTCTCTTATATGGGTTTCTGACTAGTCTTGGAGATGCCAGATGAAGAAGTCTTCCTCAACCAACACGGGAGCCTCCCTCTAGTACCTGAGACAAAGAATGTGTTGGGTTTAGGTCCTGCCTTCAGGTCTGAGCACATGGAGATAGTACAATACTCATCAATTTTCATCTACAAAGCTTTTGAATTTTTTTATTCTAGAGGACTTAATACAATCATGCTTTCAGAACACTCCCTGCAGACACTCCTTGAGGACCTCCTGTGGTATACTCACTGCTGATGAGGTCACAGATCAGGAAATATGATCACTTCATCCGTCTGGGGTAAAGATGCCAGTTCTGAACAGTGATGAATTCTATACAGGTGTTAACAGGAATATGATAATGAAGCTATGGGAAGAACACAGGATTACGTGTAGTGAGGTCTGTGTATGGGGCATGTGCATTCTGTGTATCCTTTCACACTATCCCACACACTCCATACAACCAAGATCCAAACTCTGGTTCTGGCTCTGACAGCAAACCAAGCATCTGAGGTCGCTTCTCCTCAGCCAGGGTGTCAAGACACATCCCGGGCCCCTAAGGGAATTTCTTCATGGTTAAATGGGGACAGCAGCAGTAACTTGACTTAACCAGATGATGAATTAAATAAAAATGAAATGGGAAGGAGTTAAGATGGCAGAGGAGTAAGGGTACCGTATGCTTGCCTTGTCACTCAAACACAGCCAGGTAAATAGCAAATCATTCTCAACACCCAGGAAATCGATCTGAGGGCTGAGAGGACAAACTGCCCAACAGGAGGGAGAAGAGAGGTCACATCTTGGAAGGTAGGAGGTGCAGAGATGTGATGTGGGGGAGAAAAGAATCCCAGGTGCTGCAGAGGGTAGGGAGCCCTGATCACAGAGGGGGTAGGGAGAGAGAGAGAGAGAGAGAGAGAGAGAGCACGCGCGCAGCACACAGGGGATTGAACAAGAAAAATGCTTCCCCAAAGCCAATGACTGGGAAATCGAGAGAGGCTGCTTATTGTGAGTTTTTACAATCAACGGAGCTCGAAGACTGAAGTTTTAGAAGTCTGCCTACAGCCAGAGTGGAGCCTAGGGGCACAGCGGTGCTCCTGTGGAGGAGGGCAGAGGCCCAGGAGTGGGCAGTGTGGTCTGAGGACCCCCTGCATTGCACTGGGAGGGAGAGCCCCCCTTCTTGGAGTGCACTTGGGAGAGGCGGCACTGCCTCGAAGGGGACAAAGAGATGGTGGGTGCCATTGCACTGCCCCACTCATTAGGGGCAGAGGCACCTGCTGATGGCAGCTAACCTGGATGCCAGCTCTTTGCTGTGCTTTACTCCAAACCCCAAGCACCTGTACATTCCTGCAACTGCCCTCCTGGGATAAACCCCTACCAGCCCCAGTGCCCCAAAACCCCCCCTCCAGAGGATCATTGTGGGTCCTGCCAGTGCTGAGTCCCAAAAATTTGGAGTTTTGAAACTCTGCCAGGTGCCAAAAGTAAAACATAGAAGCAATGTGCCACTCAGTGGGCAGCAGCTCTGACGCAGACACGGTGAAGGCAGAGATCTGAGGGATACCTGGCACATGAGGGGAGATTCTTCATTCTTCTGTGTGGGCTTACTGAGCAGTGGGGTGCAAATTCACCTGTCGCGGACCAAGGGAAAGGGTAGATGCCATTTTTTTTCCTCCACCCAACAGCACCACTGGATTTCAGTGAGCAACAGAGTGCCCCCCTCCTCGTCCCCCACCCCCCACTGCCAGGGGAGGCTGGAGCCACCTACACCAAGCCCCACCCCCTGCCCTCTGCAGGTGCTTCAATGCTAGAGCAAGTATGCCTAAGAGTCAGGGCAGCAGGCCTCTCCCACAGAAAACCAGCACAAATTCCCCGTATGCACCAAGTCCACTGATCAGAGCTCTGCAAAGCTGCAGCTCTAGTGGAAACAGGATCTGGCCTTTTTTAACAAGCAGATCAAAGCATACCTAGTTAAAACTTGACAACACTGGACAAAGTCCAAACACTCCTTAGTGCCGGCAAGGAAAAACTCAGCAGAAGGCTTACCTGGGGGAAAGAGCAGCCAAAATACAGCAGCAGAGTGCATGTAGCACAGACCAGACACACTTTCTGAAGCACCAGGCCCTGGACAGTACATGACCTCTTCTTACAAAGCCATTATTCTCAGGAGCAGGAAACATAACAGGCTTTCCTAACACAAAGAAGAAGATACAGACCTAGCCAAAAATGCCAAGACAGAGGAATTCATCCCCAAAAAAAAGAACAAGAAAGGGACATGGCCACAATCTAATCAATATAGATACAAACAATATGCCTGATCCAGAATTAAAAACAACAATCATAAGGATACTAGCTGGGCTTGAGAAAAGCATAGACTATATCAGAGAAAAGCATAGACTATATCAGACATATCACTATATGTCCCTTACCACAGACATAAAAGACCTAAAAACTACTCAGGCCAAAATAAAAAATGCTATAACTGAAATGCAAAACTGACTAGATGAAATGACCACAAGGATGGAAAAAGCAGAGGAGAGAATAGGTGACATAAAAGACAAAATTATGGAAAATAATGAAGCTGAAAAGAAGAGGGAAAGAAATATATTAGATCATGAATGTAGACATACAGAGCTCAGCAACTCCATGAAGCACATTATCATTTCACATCATAGGAGTCCCCTAAGAAGAAGAGTGGGAAAGGGGACACAACGTTTATCTGAGGAAATTATAGCTGAAAACTCCCCTAATCTGTGGAAAGAAAAATACCTGCGATCCAGGAGGCACAGAGAACTCCCATCAAAATCAACAAGAGCAGGCCAACACTAAGATATATCACAGTAAAATTTGTAAAATACAGAGATAAGGAAAAAATCCTAAAAGCAGCAAGGGAAAAGAAATTCCTAACATACAAGGGAAGACAAATATGGTTAGCAGCAGATCTACCCACAGAAACTTGGCAGGCCAGAAGAGAGCAGCATGATACACTCAACATGCTGAATGGGAAAAATACACAGCCAAGAATACTTTATCCAGCAAGGCTGTCATTCAGCACAGGAGAGATTAAAGAGTTTCCCAGATAAACGAAAACTAAAGGAGTTCATGAACGATAAACCAGACCTACAAGAAATATTAAACGGGACTTTTTTGAGTGGGAAAGAAAGACCAAAAGCAACAGTGGGAAAGAAAGACCAAAAACAACAAAGACTAGAAAGGAGCAGAGAAAATCTCCAGAAACAATGACTCTACAGGTCATTAACTGCATATCTCCCAATAATCACTCTGAATGTAAATGGACTAAATGTTCCAATAAAGAGAAATAGGGTATCAGAATGGATGAAAAACAAGACTCATCTATATACTTTCTATAAAAGACACATTTTAGACTCAAAGACACCTCCAGATTTAAAGTGAGGGGATGGAAAACCATATATCATGCTAATGGACATCAGAGGAAAGCCAGAGTAGCAATACTTGTATCAGACAAACTAGATTCTAAAACAAAGACTATAACAAGAGATGAAGAAGGGCACTATATCATAATTAAAGGGTCTATCCATCAAGAATATCTAACAACTGTAAATATTAATGCCCCCAACTTAGGATCCCCAAATACATATAGCAATTAATAACAAACATAAACTCATTGATAACAATACAATAATAATAGAGCCTTGTTGGCACTAAGTAGTGTTTGGACTTTGTCCACTTAAATCAATGGACAAATCGTCTAAGCAGATCAACAAGGAAACAATGGCTTTGAATGACACAGAGAACCACATGTACTTAACAGATATATTCAGAATACTGTATCCTAAAGCAGCAGGATACATATTCTTCTTGAGTGCACAAGGAACATTCTCCAGAATAGATCACATACTGGGTCAAAAATCAACCCTCAACAAATACAAGAAGATTGAGATCACACCATGCATATTTTCAGACCACAAGACTATGAAACTTAAAGTCAACCACAAGAAAAAATTGGGAAAGACCACAAATACACAGAAGTTAAAGAACATCCTACTAAAGAATGAGTGGGTTAACCAGGAAATTAAAGAAGAAATCAAAAAAATACATGGAAGCAATTGAAAATAAAAACATGACAGTCCAAAACCTTTGGGACGTAGCAAAGGCAGTCCTAAGAGGGAAATATATAATAATGCAGGTATTCCTCTAAGAAGCAAGAAAAATCTCAAATATACAACCTAACTTACACCAAAAGAACCCAGAAAAGGAAGAGCAAATAAAGCCTAAACCATCAGGAGAAGGGAAATAAAAAGATTAGAGCAGAAATAAATGATATAGAAACTTAAAAAAAAAAAAGAAAAGAAAAAGAAAAAAAAATCAATGAAACCAGGATCTGCTTCTTTGAAATAACTAATAAAATAGAAAAACCCCTAGTCAGACTTACCAAAAACAAAAGAGAAAAGGTCCAATTAAATAAAATCACAAATGAGAGGGGAGAAATAACAACCAATTCCAAAGAAATACCAAAAAAGTGTAAGAGAATGTTGTGAAAAATTATATGCCAACAAACTGAACAACCTGGAAGAAATGGATAAACTCCCAGAAACTTACAAATTACCAAAACTGAAACAGGAAGAAACAGAAAACTTGAACAGACACATAACCAGCAAGGAAATTGAAGCAGTAATTACAAATCTCCCAACAAACAAAAATCCAGGCTTCCCAGGGGAATTCTACCAACATTTAAAGAAGGGTTAATACCTATTCTTCTCAAACTGTTCCAA